TCTCTCCCACCCCCCATCCCCCCATCCCACCCTGCCTCTGTGGCAGGGTATTTCCTTTTGTTCTCTCTCTCCTTTTGGGTGTTGTGGTTTGCAAAAGAGGCATTGAGTGGCAATCATGTTTGGTCTATAGTCTACTTTCAACATGCTTCTCCCATCCTGGGAGGATCCTCCCAACACCCTTTATTTGGTACTCCTTTCTCTATCTGAGCTCTAATGAGAGACTTTTAAAACCAGAACCCTTTCTTCTTACCCGGAAGGCATCAGAAACCAGAGCTTTTTTCTTTTTTTTTTTTTCTTCCATATTTGGGTGGTTGCAATCAAGTTCTTTAATAGTACCTTTCTTTTTCTTTCTTCTTATTTTATGAAAGCAGCGTGATTTACAAAGTTACTTATAGTTGAGTTTTAGACATACAGTATAGCATCACTGATCCCACCACAAGTGCCAACTTCCCTCCCTCCTCCACCAGTGTGCCCAGGTTCCCTCCCATACCCTCTCCCCAGTCCCCCCGGACTGCCCTCTTGTCAGGTACCATTCTAAGTTTGGTTGTTGTTGAAGTCTTGATTTCAGTGTTGTTGACACTGTAGTTTGGATATTTGGCTCTATCATTCTTTTCTTTTCTTTTTCTTTTCTTTTTTTTCTTTTTGGGTCATACCCAGCGATGCACAGGAATTACTCCAGGCACATGCACTCAGGACTTACTCCCGGCGGTGCTTAGGGGACCATATGGGATACTGGGAATCAAACCCGGGTTGGCCGAGTGCAACGCAAACGCCCTACCCACTGTGATATTACTCCAGCCCCAGTTTTACCATTCTTTACCACCACCTTTGTACCGTAACCCCCCGATCTGGCCCCTTCCTTATCTCCTCTCCAGTCTTTCTCCTCCCTGTACTCTGGACCCAAGGTTGATCTGGGCATTTCCCCTTTATAACTTTGCATTTGTGGGGCTGGAGCAATAGCACAGCGGATAGGGCGTTTGCCTTGCACGCAGCCAACCTGAGTTCGATTCCCAGCATCCCATATGGTCCCCTGAGCACCACAAGGAGTAATTCCTGAGTGCAGAGCCAGGAATAACCCCTGTGCATTGCCGGGTGTGACCCAAAAAGCAAAAAAAAAAAACCTTTTGCATTTATATATGATATTTAGAATAACCAAATCTAGAATGTTTATATTTTAATTGTCTCTCTCCTCCAGATCACATTGTAAGAACCAGGTGCTCAGGCTATGGCCCAGGTATGGAACCAGAAAGCTATAAAGCATTTTGAGAACCTGTGTTTGCTACCAAGGCACTCTGGGTATTCCCACACAAGAGTTTTCCTCATGTGAAGAAAAAATAAACCTGATTTCATGTGCCTCAGCCCTGTCCTGTGATTTTTCTTCTTTGGATGGCCAAAAGACCATCATGTGAGTATTTCTTAGCAATAATTTTTGGTTTCAGTGTCATACTTGCTCTGTGTGGAATTTTGCCCAAATCACTTGTATCACTTGTCATCCCATTGCTCATTGATTTGCTCGAAAGGGTGCCAGTAATGTCTCCAATCACCCCTGTCACATGCTAGTATAGCCCAATGGCGTCTGCTAGCTCCAAGAACATGAAGTGAGGACCGTTATTGTTATGGTTATAGAATACACCATGGGTAGCTTGCCATGCTCTGCATGTGGGGGGATACTCTTGGTAGCTTGCCGGGCTCTCAGAGAGGGATGGAGGAATCAAACCCAGATCAGCCATGTGCAAGGCAAACGTGCTACCCACTGTGCTATTGCTCCTGTCCAAATAGTATATTTAAATTTTCTTTTTATAAAGTTCTTAAAATATGCTGCAATAAAATGTTATATTTTATAGTTTGGGGACAATATAAAACAGCATGTTTGATAGATTGGGGCTCCTGTCCGGTGCAGACATAGGGACAGAGACAGTAAAAGTGAAGGAATAGAAGTTTATTGGGATGCATTCCCAGATGAATGCTACATTGTCCCCTGAAGTAGCTGGATTAGAGCTTGACTTGGGAGAGAATAAGGGGGCTTTAAGTGTCTTCGGGGGAAAAGGTTCAAACACCAATGCGATCTGTTTGACCTGGCCTTCTGTTACCTTAGGGAGTCCTGACGTGAGGAAGGAAGGAATACATACTTGTAGCTTTCTAGATGGGTTAAAAAATCCTGTCCTAAAGCTGGGGGGAGCGTGATCTGTGATTCTGGGAGTGTTGCTCTCTCATAGCCAGTCTATATTTGGTCCAAGCAAATCTTACAATATTTATAGTAAAACCTATAGTGTATTGCCTGTTACGATCATTGTAATTGATCATGATAAATCTCATTCTTACTGTGGTTATTCTGTGGGTCTCTTGAGGCTATGTTCATGATGCAACCAAGTAATTGCGCTCGTTGCCTTGTTTTTGAATTCATCTAAAGACTAGTCACTTTTATCTATATCTAAATATGTCCATGGTATGAAGGACAATTTTCTTTCAAAAAAGCAACTTGTATTCTGGGGTATTAGGGAACTTGATTTGCAATAATAATAGAGAACTATGATTTCAGTAAAATTGGGGTGGAATAAAGGTAGACTAAAAACCTGGGGAGTCATTTATTTGTGGAAGTGTTGAGTGAGCATGAATGGCAGTGAAATAGATAGTGGTATTCGTCAATCCCACAACTCTCTTTCCTCTATGTTGCTTTTTTATGAATGTGGCTCAGAGGCTGTTTCCTTTCATTTTCTCTGGAGCCCCCCAAAATTCCATTCACATAACTGACTATGTGAACTCTGTGTTTAAAAGCGATACTTAAGTGAAGAAGCATCTGTTGAATTCCAATCTAATGAATGAATGGGCAGAACTTAAAAAATCGTAGCATAGTTCTTCTTTCTCTTTATTTTTAAATTTCACTTTTTGGCTCTTGTGTTTGTGTGAACTTTATCACACCCCACCAAAATTTTATTTTGTTTTTAATTTAATTTTTTTTTTATTGAATCACCCTGAGCACAGTTACAAAGCTTTCAGATTTAAGTCTCGGTCATACAATGATCAAGCACCCATCTCTTCACCAGTGCACATTTTCCACCACCATGAACCCCAGTATAACCTCCGTCCCACCCCTCCCCCTGCCAGTGTGGTAGATGATTTTCATTGTTCTCTCTTTCTACTTCGATTACATTCAATTTTTCGACAGAAGACTTACCATTATTATTTGGTGTTTTCCCCCAACATTCAGACCTGCCAAGAAGGCATCACTAGATAATTTGTTTTCTATTGCTGAAAATGAAGAGCATATGATGTCTCGAGGCCTCACTAGTAGCTGCGCAATTTTGGATTTCTGATATTTTAGTAATTAAGTCCTGAGGGATTTCTGCCAGAGCTGCTGGGTTCCAGGATTGGTTTGTGTGCCTCTGGGATCATGGCCATTCAGGAGCCAGAGGAGCTGTTTGTGGACAGCAACTCGGGACCTCATCAGGGCGGGGAGAAGGGCAGGTTTCAGTCCCCATCCCGTACCCCACCAATTTTTAGAGCCCTCATGCTATTCAAATGACTCTCTCTGCTTGTTCATTTCACTCCCCCTTCCCTTTTCCTCTGGTGACCACCAGAAAAACACCATAGTTTTTAGAGTTCAAGGGCTAAATGAGATCTTTTCTGTCCTCAAAATTTCTCAAACTCTTGAATTTATTTTCTTTCACCACCCAAATTTTGCAAGTAATGTTACTGTATTAGTCTAATGTTAAACATTTTAAATGTCTGACCACAACTTCTTTGATAAATAACCTTTAATATAGTGTTCTTTAAAGATCACTGTCACTGTCAGTCCTCCCAGAGTTCATCGATTTGCTCGAGTGGGCACCAGTGACGTCTCCATTGTGAGACTTGTTGTTACTGTTTTTGGCATATTGAATACACCACGGGGAGCATGCCAGGCTCTGCTGTGCGGGCCGGGATACTCTTGGTATTGTGCTGGGCTCTTTGAGAGAGATGGAGGAATCAAACCCGGGTAGGCCACATGCAAGGCAAACAGCTTACCTGCTGTGCTATTGCTCCAGGACTGGAACCGTTGTACTTTTACAAAATCTAGATTTTTAGAAATGATTACTGATAGTATATTTTTAGCCACTTCTATAAATATGTCATAGAACATGTACAAGCAATGCACAACAATTTCCATCCATCCAGTAACGACAATTTACTAATATGAATTGTAATTGTAAGCATATGGAATACTTTGGAAATGTTTTGTCCTTCCTGATTTATCTATGTATTCCTCGAGTGTAATATGATTTTATACTTTAGTAGTGATTTGAGTCTATGGTCATATTTTTATTGGGCAAGCAAATCTTTGGTTTTAAAATGCAAGTTCCTAAGGGTAATTCACAGAAATTTCTTAGTTCCTCTTTTTTTTTTCTTTTCTCATGACGTCCAACCTTATGAATAACCCCCAAGTTCAGCAGCTCATGTTGCATCATCTCAGGGGGCCACACCCCAGCCCCAGGCCGAACCACCTGGGCTGCCTCCTCCAGGCAGGCCAGCAGCTGGCCCAGCAGCTGCAGGCACAGACGCCGGACTGGCTGGAGCAAAATTGGCGAAGCCAGATGCAGCGTCTGGCACCTGGTGCCAGCCAGGGGACAAGCCCAGGGCCCTCAGAGTGTGAGCAGAGATTGGGGGACACCGCACTAGCCACTGCACCCTGTCTCCACCGCTGTCCGAGCTGCAACTTGTAAATGGTGGGGAATAAATTTGTGACTTCAAAAATAAAAAGTTCCTCTTTTCTTTTCCTTCTCACATCTTTGACTTGGTTTCCAGGTCTCTATTTTTACTGCATTTTTTCTCCTGAGTTGAAGGGCTACTATTTTAGCTGTTGGTCTTGGGGTTCAAGCTTCTGGCTGAGGGTTTTAGTTCTCATGTGACTCCTTTGAGCCTGTGTGACTAGTGGGACCTCGGTGCTCCTGCATAGCTTCTCTAAGTTGTTCTCAGAGTGATGGGAAGGCTGGCGTGAAGAGAGCAGAGTGTCTCTTCTCAATATGATGACAGAGATCACGTACGCTGAAGTGAGATTCAAAAATGAACCCCAGCCCATGGTCATCCCATCACAGGCTCCTACAGGTAAGAAACGTTTTCTGCAAGTTCATAATGAGATGAAGGATGGGGAAGGAAGAGTGTCAGCGAATCATAAGTGATATTAGTTGTTATTTTTTTTTAGATTGGATGCAACTAGGAAATGTATGGTTGTCAGTGGCTTGAGTTGTCTAATAAGAAACAGGAGGAGGTATGAATACCTCAAAAGTGAGATGTGAGAATTAACCCTCACCCTCACTCCAGTCAGGCTAAGGGAAGTGCTGTTTAGTTGATCATTGTTCTGCCTTGTGGGGTTGAGTGAGTTTACAGTCAAGAGATGGGTGTTCTGCTCTTGTAACCTCTGGCTTAGATGCAGCACCTTTGATGAAGGAATGAATGGACTCTATTCCTTGATTAGTTAGAGTGGAAGAGGTTTTCACGAACTGTGTGTGTTCATTTGTGTATTAGTTGTGTATTCAGGGACAACAAAAGACCTCTGCAGGTAAAAGACTAGAAAGTCTTACAAAGACAGTTTATTACTTCTCAAAGGAAATGGCTCTGACATCAGAAAATTCTTTTCTTGGTGGTGGGGGGCACAGTAGACAATCTTTTTGGGTTATTCCTGTCTGTATACTCAAAAATCACTCCTGACAGGGATCAAGGGACCATGTTGGGTACCTGGTATAAAACCCGGGTCATGTGGTGGTGGAAAATGGGCACTGGTGGAGGGATGGGTGTTTGATCATTGTAAAATTGAAACCCAAGTACAAAAATTTGTAAATCTTCAACTGTACCTCATGGTGTTTCACTAACAAAAATTTTTTAAAAATATGTAAATGATGGAAAATGGGCACTGGTAGAGGGATGGGTACTGGATCATTGTATAACTGAAACCCAAGCACAAAAATTTGTAAGTCTACAACTTTACCTCATGGTGTTTCAATAATAAAAATTAAAAAAAAACAAAAACCAAAAAACAACCCCGGTCAGCTGTGTGCAGAGTAAGCACCTTATCTGCTATACTATTTCTATGGCCCCACCCAGAAATTTCATTTCATGCCAGTTTCCAAGATGGATTAAATACAGTTTTGGGATGTGGGGCAAGGTGATTTGAGTTGAGTATCATGTAATAGATCTTATGCAGAGAGGAAAACAGAAAGAAAAAAGCATATATAGTTTGAGACTAAAAACACGATGTATGTGTGGTCATAATTGTTCATGTTTTCCAAAAATGTGGAAATATAAAGAATTCTCAAGAAAATTTCTTCCTGTAACATAAACTGCATATAAACTTTACCATATGTCGAAGTATTCATTATAGAAAACATAAAATTTAAGTTATATTTATTATTATCATCTAGGATACTAGTAATTTAGATTTTAATGCATGTAACTCCAGATGTAAGTAAATGTAAGTATTTCTTTTGTAAAATTGAAATCATATTTTATATTACTGAGGGGGTTTATCCTTACTTGGGAATATATCATGACTTTGAGAAAATGAATTTATTTTTTTCTTGGGGGCCACATCCAAGCTACTCATGAGCTTCTCCTGGGTCCATGAGGGGGGAGGTCTCTCCCAGTGGTGGTTAGGGGATCATGTGTTGTCAGGAAGATAACATGGGTCTCCAGCATGCAATACATACACTCAGTTCTTTGAGTTATTTCTCCAGCCAAATAGTTTCTTTCATTGAGATAATATTGGCTTGTAACAGAGCTTAAAATCTTTTGTACAGTGGGTAGGGCATTTGCCTTGCATGCAGCTGACCCAGGTTCGATTCTCAGCATCCCATATGGTCTCCTGAGCAACGCCAGGAGTAATTCCTGAGTGCAAAGCTAGAAGTGTTCCCTGTGTTACTCCAGATGTGACCCGTCTCACAATGAGAATTGCAATGAAATATCACCTCACACTAATGAGAATGGTCCATGTTAAACATATTGGAAACAGTGTTGGTAAGGATATTGGGAAAAAGGAACTCTGACATACTTTTGGTGAAAATGAAATTGGTGTACCCTGTAGAAAATGCTATGGAGATTCCTCAGGAAAATAAACATGAAAATTCTATATGATCCATGATAACTTTTCTGGTCACTTATGAATATGTTGGCAGAATCTCCTGCCCCTGTGCCAGGCTTTCTTCACCAGGGCATCCTCAGAGGGGGCGGGTTGAGTTTCCCACCCCGCCCCAAGCAGAGCCCCAGCAGCTGAAAACCCTCCAGATAAATTAGATTTAATTAGAACCCAGCCACAGCCATGCTCAAGGCCTCTTTGTACATGCTCAGATGTGCCTAACACATGAAGGAACTGACAGAGGAACCCAGTTATGTGGGACCCATGACTGAGATCTCCAAGCCTGCTCGGATAGAGACTGGGCCTCCTCCACCCAGATCCCCAGTTTTCCAGTAGCTTGGTAGTCACACCCACACACTGCCTTTTGGCGCCATGTAATCTCATCAACGTCCAGGAGCCAGAGACTATAAAACAAAGCTCCCGGAAGAGAGCAAAGCAGTTTTTCCTGGAGCATGTAGCCGCAAATGCTGATGTATTGATGTACCTAAAGCAGCACATATGTGTTTGGTTTTAACATACTTGCTCGTATTCTCTTATACACGGGCTTAAAGGGCTCCAGAATGAAATCAACAACCTTTACACACTTCCCTCTTATTGTGGTGGGAAGATGCTTGCTGATTGGGTGGGTGTTTGAATATTTTCTGTAATGAACTATTGTGGACTACTTTATGAAAATACAGTGTATAAAATTTGCAAAAGAAAAAACAAGAAAAGGATATGTTTACCTCTATGTTTATAATTGCATTATTCACTTTAGTCAAAACATGGGATCAACATACATGCCCATCAAGAGATGGTTGGATAATGAAATTGTGGTATATGAATTCAATACAAAATGTTGTTAAAAAAAGATAAAATCCTCATTTTTCGAACAAAATGGATGGAACTTGAGGTGATTATGGGAAGTGAAATAAGGAAATGAAATACATTTACTAGGTCATTGCACTTATATAAAGTAAAAGTAAGTAAAGGCCCTCCCGTTGATCGTCGATTTGCTCGAGCGGGCCCAGTAACGTCTCCATTGGAGACTTTGTTGTTACTGTGTCTGGCATATCGAATACTCTCGGTAGCTTGCCGGGCTCTCCGAGAGGGGCGGAGGAATCGAACTCGGGTCGGCCATGTTGGCCGCTTGTAAGGCGAACGCCCTACCCGCTGTGCTATTCCTCCGCCCCACTTATATATGAAATATAAATCACTAAAGCAAGTGAACTCAAAACCCAAGAGAACTGGACCTGGGGATAATTCAATGGTAGAGTGCTTACCTTGAAAGCACAAAGTCAAGAGTTCGATTCCCATCACTGCCCCCCATGCTAAGTGTGATTCTGTCAGCATTGCTGTTCATGATTCATTCTGCCACAGCAGAGTCTGTGCCCACCATCAAGCGTGTTCCAGCTCTTCAACCACATGTGAAACCTCTGGTGAGCACCACAACATTGCAACTAGGTGTGTATTTCCTGTCACAGCAACCAACAACAAAGGGAAAGAAGGGGACAAAACCCTAGGTCCAATAAATAAATAAATAAAGCAATAAAACTAACTCAGAAGAGTTTTGTTGGGAACTCTATTAATTGCAGAGGTGGGAGGAAAGGTTAGAAGGATCTTTCTGGCCATGTAAATGGCAGTAGAACTTTGGTAGTAGGTATGATAAGACTTATAAACATATAGGAATGTGAAACATGGGGTTGGAGCAATAGCTCAGCAGGAAAGGTGTTTGTTTTGCACGCGGCCGACCCAGGTTCAATTCCCAGCATCCCATATGGTCCCCCGAGCACACCCAGGAGTAATTCCTGAGTGCATGAGCCTGGAGTAAACCCTGTGCATCGCCAGGTCTGATCCAAAAAGCAAAACAAAAGAAAAAAAAACAGGATTGTGAAAGCAACCCCTGGAAATTCCATTATATTGTAAATCAATGAAAAGTAAGAGTTATATATCATATGTTAAAAATAGAATATTATCAAATAATATATGTGATCCAGACATTTTGTAAAATGTTGCTATTAAAATGTTTAATATTTAAATATAAAAATATTTAAGTTATAGCATACTTAAATATATTACAATTAAACAATGTATAAATATTTAATATTAAATTATTTTCATATCAAAATGTTAAAAACAGTAATTCTTAATGGTAGGAATTCATGTTCTTACATATTATCCTAGGTTTCTACAATGAGTGCTATTAGTTACTTTTCTTTTAAACATCACACTGTCTGTATTAATGTGCCACTCACAAAAAAGGGAGAAGAGGAAGGACTGGCCTGACTGTATTACTGACTGACCTAATTTGGTTTCTCTTGCAGCTTCCAAAGAGAAGACTAGCCCTCCCCAAAGTAACTCTGTCAAACTACTTCTTGCTGCATTGCTGATTCTTCTGCTGCTGACAATCTCATTTTTAATCACCTTTATCAGTAAGTAGTTAATAGAATCAGGGAGGAATATCTCCCTTACCTGAAGAGATAGGTAAGGGAGATGAGACACTGATAATTCAACACAAGATTTTTAGCAGAAAGCTGAAGTCTTCTCTAGGGGAAAGAGAACAATAAGCAGTCTTTGGAGACTTGGTGCTTTATTTGAATTTAGTTTCTCTTCCATGAAATAATGACACCAACTTTCTTTGGAGAAAGTAAAGTCTATATGTATGTGCACATATTTGTGTTGTAAAGTGAAACCTCTAAGGCATCACTGTCTACATTAGACTTAATCACTTATCACTTAATCCCCGTTATTCATCGATTTATTCAAGCGGGTGCCAGTAACGTCTCCATTCATCCCGGTTGCGTGCTAGCGTAGCCCAATGGTATCTGTTCGTTTTAGGAACATGTAGAGCCTCAAACCGATCATTTAGGGTCTTGACGAAGAAGTCTGACCATCTTATAGGTGGGCGTCCACGTGATCTTTTGATGTCTCGTGGAATCCAATCAGTAATGGCTCTAGTCCAGCGGTTGTCTGTAAACCTCATTACGTGTCCAGCCCATCTGATTTTTGATGTCTTGGCAAATGAGACAGCGTCTCTGATTCTTGAGCGTTGACGAAGATCAGAACTCCGGATTCTATCTCTCATTTGAGTGAATCGTGATATTCCAAGCATAGTTCTTTCGATTCCTCTTTGAGAGACCCGAATAGTGTTCTCATCCTGTTTTCGTAGGGTCCAGGTCTCTGAGGCATATGTTAATGCAGGAAGAATAGTGGAATCAAAGAGATGTGCTCGTAGTTGGAGGTTCTTTGTCCTTTTAGTTATTTCTTCAATGCTCTTGAAGGCATTCCAAGCCGCTCTCTTCCTCCTGCGTAACTCAGGTGCCAGGTCATTCATCATGTTGATTTCTCGACCTAAGTATATATAACTGTTGCATTCGGAGATGGTGGTTCCGTTGAGAGCGAATGGAGCGTCAGGAACAAGGCTGTTTCTCATAAACATTGTCTTCGTAAGATTCAGCTGTAGTCCAACCTTTCCACACTCACGGTCAAAGTCCGCAAGCATTTGTGCCGCTTGGCTGATGTTTGGTGTTATTAGAACGATGTCATCAGCAAAGCGGAGGTGGTGTAGTTGCCGACCATCTATCTTCACTCCCATGTTTTCCCATTCTAGTCGTCGCATGATGTTCTCGAGGGTGGCACTGAAGAGTTTTGGTGAAATGGTATCACCCTGCCGAACCCCTCTCTTGATATGGATGATTACTTCTTTGTAGAATGGTGAGATCTTGGTAGTGAATCCGCAATAGAGCTCACGAAGGATCCTGATGTATTGAGTTTGTACGCCCTGATTGGCTAGGGCTTCCATGACCGCTTCCGTCTCAACAGAATCAAAGGCCTTCTTTAAATCAATGAACGTTAGACATTAGACGGTTTGGGAAAATGAGGACAACACTCTATTCCTTAGTAGTGTTGTTCAGGCCCTTTAAAGTGCAGGCACATAGTTTGGGATGACCAAGCAGAAAAGGAAACAGAAAAAATATTTCAGCAGAGTTTTCTAGTGAAATTTTACCTTTTTTTCACTATCAACATCGATGTTGTAAAAGTCAGTTGCAAAGAGGTAGATATCCATATTCTGCTATCTGCAACATGCGTATCTTTGTCTCCAGAATTTTAAACAATCTTTGGGGCCATACTCAGAAGTGTTTAGGGCTTACTCCTCAATCTGTGATAAGGGATCACTCCGGTGGGACTCAGGGGACCATCTATCTACTATACTATCACTTCTGCCTCTGGCTTTAAGAATTTTAAAGATTTTTAAAGATTTTTAAAAGGTATGAAAAAGTGCTGATTTGGATGTATATTTTATTCACTAATTTGGTTATTCAATATGAAGTGGTGACTACTGGCTTTTTTTTTTTTTATCCAGCACTGGGACAGCAAAAGGAACCTAGAGAATTTCCCCATAGTCTCAAGAAATTCAGAGAATAGTGGAAAACTGTTGAATCAACCAGTGGTTTCAACACTATATAAGTGTGTGGGTGAGATGCAAAGAAGTTGTAAAGGTTTCCTGGAGGAAGCGTTTTCTGGAAGAGTAACAGAGAAGTAAGAGAGCATAGGAAAATCTGGGCGGCATAATTAGAAATAACTGGAACATATCATGTTGAGGAACTGAGAGAAATAAAACTGTAGATGCAAGAAATATTCCCCTCAGAGCATGAAGTGTGTTATGTACAATACTAATAGTCTAGAATTTTTGTTTGATTTTTTTGGGGGGGGTATTGCTCCATGATGCTAATGTCTACTGACTCGAAGCTTGGGGGTAGCTCTGTGATGAGGATGGAGCTGAGAATACCTGCAAGCAAAGCACACAGTCAACCCTTTGAGCTATATTCCCAGCCCAAATCTGTTTTACCCCCGAAAGGTGTTTTCAAATCACTTATCTTTTGCTGATGAGTAAAACAAGTTTTCACTTAATGGTTAAAATAACAAGCACCTGATTCTGTGAGTTGGCAATTTTAACCAATCAACTAGGAGGTTCTTTTTGTCTGGCTTAAATTATTCACACACAAGCAGTCAGGTAGAGGTTGCAGACAACTTAGTGTTTGAAGAAGAGGATGTCAGTCGGCAAACATGGGCAATTTGGTCACAGTTGTTTCACAATTTCCCAGAATAGCCTGAGTTTATTTGGAAGGTGACTTTTAGGTTTCTGAGAATTGAGTGGATGTCAGTGAAATCTCCTGTAACCACAGCATAGAATTCATCAGAATTGCTTCCATACATTCTGTTGGCTAAGGACATCTTAAAACCATCAGCTTTCCTGACCTCTCCCAACTCTCTGATCTTGGGGTGCAAGGTGTTGAACCCAGGTCTACACACATGTCACAGAAACATTTTATCATTGATATCAATATCCCCCAGACCTAACTAAAGGAAGTCATGAGTTGTCTCAAGTTGAAGTGATGTAGAATTAGATATCACTTGTTGAAAAGTAATATTGAAAATAAGTGTGGGGACTGGAGGGATAGTACAGTGGGTAGGGCGTTTGCCTTGCTTATAACCGGCCTGGGTTTGATCCCCGGTATCCCATATGCTCCCCCAAGCACTGCCAGGAGTAATTCCTGAGTGCAGAACCAGGAGCAACCCCTGAGCATCGCTGGGTGTGGTCCAAAAAATCAAAACCAAAAAATAATGAGTGTGGTTACAGGAAAGATGGAAAATCATGAGCTTTCTTATAATAAGTAATTGAGAGTCACTGCAGACTTTAAAACGTGGAAGAGATATTGTAATCAGATTTGATAGAAATGCACTTTTGTCATTTTGTTATTTGAAACTGACAATTGAATACACCCAATTGCAATACACGTACTTTAATTGAAATATACTTTGGTAAGTTGTGTTAACTGAATATGCCAGGACATAGTTGGTTATAAATAAAAGAATGCCAGTTCATTATTCATTTGCAAAATAGTGAGAACTTGACCCAAGGTTTGTGGTAGTAAAGAGAAAAGGAGGAATCTTTGAATAATACCGAGAATGTAGAACCAAGGATATAGAAGCTTGATGAATACTGAGATCTAAATATAAGGTATTTTAAGAACTCAAGCATAGTGCAGGTATTTTCACCTGATAACTCAATAAATCAATAAATCGCTGGAGCGATAGCACAGAGGTAGGGCGTTCGCCCTACAAGCGGCCAACATGGCCGACCCGAGTTCGATTCCTCCGCCCCTCTCGGAGAGCCCGGCAAGCTACCGAGAGTATTCAATATGCCAAACACAGTAACAACAAAATCTCCAATGGAGACGTTACTGGGCCTGCTCGAGCAAATCGACGATCAACGGGAGGGCCTTTACCTTTAACTCAATAACATAGATATTCACAGGTAGTAGGTTTATGAGTGAGGTTGGTGATTTAAGTTTGGGGTACATTGATTTTTGTTGACTCTTGAACCTCAAGTGGACCTGTCTAGTGGGAGACATATTGGCCAGATTTTGAAAACGAAGCCTGGATTTTGGAATTATTCCATGTTGCAGAGGAAACTGTGGGTACTCATGCTATCACTCAGGAAGAGACTTTCCAATGAGAGGGAGGATAAGAAATTTACAATTGAAAGAAGGATGGATAAAGAGGAGTATAAAGTAATTAAAGAAGCATCTGCAAGAAATGTGAGGAATATTAGATTTTAAAAGAGGTGTGAAGACAATTGAGATTAAGAAGCATCAGAAAGAAAGGAGTGACAAAACCAGGAAACAGTGGTGTCCCAAGAATGAAATGAAAAGAACTGAGTTCAAGAATGGCATAGCTTCAAAATAATCAGGGTCTCACAGAGTAGGTAATGGGTAACCTCCCCCCATCTCCCTGTTCTTCTGGGAGTCAGAGAGCCTTGCCCATAAACTGCCTCTTGAGTCATAGAATCTCATTAATGGCCATGATCCAAAAACTCACAAATAAATTTTAGAAGAAATCATCATCAGCAAGCTGCAGAGATACCTCCAGACCACAAAGTCTCCATCCAGTTAAAAATTTAACTATAGTTGTATCACAGTTTTCAAAATTTTAGAATTCCTGGAGTGTGTGACTGCAAATGGGCTACACAACATCTCATACTCTATACCACTGCTCTACCAGGAGTAGCATACCACATTAGATGGTTAAAAAGTAGAAAGCAGGGGCTGGAGAGATAGCACAGCGAGTAGGGCATTTGCCTTGCGCGCGGCCAACCCAGGTTTGATTTCCAGCATCCTGTATGGTCCCCTGAGTACTGCCAGGAGTAATTCCTGAGTGAAGAGCCAGGACTAACTCCTGTGCATCAGCAGGTGTGACCCAAAAAGCAAAAATAAATAAATAAATAAATAAATAAAAGTAGAAAGCAACCAATCTCAACAAAACAAAACAAACACACATAAAAGCCGTTGGGCTTAATGGCTCCAGGGTGAGATACAACAATCTTCGCACACTTTTTTCTAAAGAAACATTTTTGGTTCACTAGCGAATTGTACATAAGAAGCAACACAAAATAAAATATTTCAGGCCTGCTCTTGGGGCAGTCTTCGGTGATGGTTGGGAAAATATGAAATAATGGTGGTGGGAAGGTATAATGGTGGTGGGATTGATATTGGAATGTTGACTGTAATAAATTATTGTAAACAAGTTTATATTACAAAAAAGAATTGCAAGAGGTCTAAGAAAAGAGTTTAGAAGTGTCCCATGGATATGGTTGGGACATTACAAGAGTGCAGTGGTTGAAGTGGAAGTTAGCATTGGTTGGTCAGGGAGCTCATGAGAGGTGATGAAGAAAAAGAGAAATTTCACCATTTAGAGAGGGAAGTAGATTTATCTTAAAATGTGAGAGATTTGAGTGTACTGATGTGCAGAAGAATGACAGTTGGGATAGACGAAAGGAAAAAGGATAAGAAACAAATGATCTTCCCTCCTTGCTAGATTTTTTAAAAAAATTTCCCTTTCTACAGGTAACCCAGACCTCAGAATTGATGATTTTCTTCCCCAAAGACATGATTTTATATCCTCAGAAATGTTTAACCATTTCTCACCTCTCCCTTTTCCAAGGTTTAGCATTTGTATACATATCACCAACTTTTTTTTTCACCCACTTTTTTATTGTTGAAGGTGAGGATGGATAATTGCCTTTAGATCCATAATAAAAGAATTGTTGGGGGCTGGAGAGATAGCACAGAGGGTAGGGCTTGCACGTGGCCGACCCAGGTTCGATTCCCAGCATCCCATATGGTCCCCTGAGCACCACCAGGAGTAACCCCTGTGCATCGCCAGGTGTGACCCAAAAATCAAAAAAAAAAAAGAATTGTCATAGCATCTTTCATCCCATTCTGAAAACAAACCTATTATTTCAATATCTGTAGGATTAGAATGTGTTGAATGCTGGGCAATGAGGTACTTTTTCCACAGTTAGCATCATTCTATTGGAGCAATTATGTATTATGGGCTTTGTTCAAGAAAGTAACAGTAAAAAGAAAAACCTTAGCAGTACCACAAAAATGATTGGTGTTATTCTCTTCCTAGTTTTTTTCCAAAAATATTCTAAACTTGTTCAAGAAGAAAAGTTTACACAAGAACTGACTCACACAATGTTGGAATGTAAGAAAGAAAACTCGACCACGAAAGGTAAGAACTAATATGCATAGAATTGAATTGCTGAATATACTAGTAGAACTCATGACTATACTACTAGAACTAATGTATATATAATTATTACTAATTATAATAATTGATAATATAAAATAATATACTGATATTTATATAAGTTTCTGATCATACTAGAAGAACAATTATGCATATAATTTAGCTGTGGACTACACTATATTACACCCTACACCCCTTGTGGCAAGCTTCCAACCACGGAACATTCCGCCTGACCCTTGTTTCCACTGTCCTGTTTCCACTGTCATGCTATGTTTTTCATTATTTTTTTTTAGTTAAATCACTGTGAAACAAACAGTTACAAAGTTGTCCATGACTGGGTTTCATCATGTATATTCCAACACTCATCCCTTCACCAGTGTACATTTCCCATACATATCAATAGCTCCAGTAAGATTCATGGATACAGCATACTTAAGAGCTGTTTCTTAATAGTTTTAAGTGTGCCTCTATATCAGGCCTCAATTATTTTGTGTGATATTATTATCTGTGAAAAAGTGGTTGAGTAGCTTCTGAATTTCTTCTCTGTTTTGCCACACCTGGCAGTTTTCAGGACACTGCATTTAGGGATCACTCCTTGGTGCTGCTCTGAGTATATTATAAGGTGTCAGGTGTGAAATCCAAGTCAGCCACATGGAAGACAAGCCCCTGCCCATTGTACTATAACTCCATTGGATTTCTTTAGTCTTCACTTCTCGCTGTACTTTATGTTCACTCTTATTTTCCCCAAATATCTGTTAAAAATGACTTACTCAAAAGAGATCAAATTCAGTTGTGTTTTAAGAAAACAGAAACATTTCATGCATTCAAGTGGTTTCTTAGACAATACACCACATACTTATTGGATTAGGGCTGGAGCGATAGCACAGCGGTAGGGTGTTTGCCTTGCAAGCAGCCAACATGTCCGACCCGAGTTCGATTCCTCCGCCCCTCTCTGAGAGCCTGGCAAGCTACCGAGAGTATCTCACCCGCACGGCAGAGCCTGGCAAGCTCCCTGTGACGTATTCGATATGCCAAACACAGTAACAACAAAGTGTCCAATGGAGACGTTACTGGGCCCGCTCGAGCAAATCGATGAACAACGGGAGGACAATGACAGGACAATGACAATGATGTACAGGCAAGCACCCTACCTGCTGTACTCTCTCCCTTGCTTCCAAGTCTGCACCTTTTAAAAATATTTTGGTTCTAGCTACCTCTACTAATGACACACAGACAAGGAAATGGGAAAATATTTGTTACTTCCAGATGCAGGTGACCTACACAATGCATGATGGGTAAGGATCCTATTACTATTTGTTGAACATGGGCATTGTAATTCCACAAAGATCTCTTTTGCTTTTTAAATTTAACAATACGCCTACTTTATGGTGGTGGAGAATACACACTGGAGAATGGATGGGCATTGGCACTTTGTATGACTGAAACCCAACAATAACAACTTTGTGTACCTCATTTTGATTCAATAAAAATAAATAGATTTAAAAACAAACAAAAAAATTACTTGCCTTGGGCCAGAGTACAGTGGTTATTGCACTTGTCTTGTATGTGGTCAACCATTGTTTTATTTCTACACCAAGTATGATCCCCTAAGGACCACCAAGGTGCACTCCTGAGCACAAAACCAGGAGTAGCCCCTGAACACTGCTTAGTGTGATCCCAAAATAATAAAAACATTACCTGTATTATATTGTACTAACATGGCCAAGTATCAACACAGGGAAATCCTGGAGCTGCTGCCCGAAGAATTGGAAGCCTTTTTGTTCAAATTGCTACCTTTTTTCTTCTGAGAAAAAAAACTGGACTGACAGTGAGAAGCACTGTGCAGGGATGCAGGCGCATCTGGTGGTGGTCGACAGCAAGGAGGAGCAGGTACTTTCCAGTCAACGTTGGCGTCATGGTCCTTCCAACTCTGTCCACCCCTCCTGCTTGGGAGGAAGTTCTCATGGTCAGAGGTGTTGCTGCCAAGGCATAAGGCTTTGAATAAAATAGATGGGATCCGACATCGAAGTCTTTGAATTCTACACCTTCTTCTGATTCCATTTAAATCGTCCACTTGCATGCCCCCTTAATATTGTGCAAAATATAGAGTATTATATGGAGGCTTGAACGGAAAGATGGGTATATTTGAACCTGAAATGTCAGTTAATTTTATGAACCTACATACATTTTATAAATTATTACTGTCTCAATGGGGCTATCTCTGGCCCTGTGCTTGGAGGTTGCTCCAATCAGAGACATTAATCTATTGGCAGCTGAAATACTTGTTGTGTGTTATGCTAAGCTTAAACTCCTGCATTTTTTTAGCCAATTGAGGACTACTGGTGGAGTGATGACTTGGCTCTTGTGGTCTCCAAGCACTAATAAATGACAACAACTGCCACAACAAGAAGCAGGAAAATAAAATAAACAATACATGATCGAGAAAAGTTATGAAGTGAAATAGGAAAGGAATAAACAGCAATGAAGTGAAATAATTTAATTATCAAAAGAAAAAGAACTTAGGTGGAAAATTTCTTCTCCAGACTCCCATCTTCTACTGATGAAGTGGGGGTGAGTGAGAAATGATAATTCACTGTGAGCACAGACAGAAATCTCTTCCCTGTGTGCTGTGCACTGCAGTTCTCTAATGAACTCTGCTCTGAATTCCTAAATTAAAATCCCAATCACCAAAGGGATATAGGAAATTGTGTCAGTGGGGCATCCTTAGGTATGAGACAGGAGCGTTCATGTTGTTAGAAAGGGGATTCATCATACTTCTTTTCCTTCTCTCCGTATAAGCTTACTATGAGAGCAATTTTGAAGAGGAAAGGGGGTCTTTTCCTGACCAAACTGTTCTTCTGATCTGGGGACATCACTCTGCAAAACCATTTCAGTTGTTTATAAGCTGCCCTATCTGTCTATGGGGCTTTGTAGAGAGGTCTGAACACCTAAGACAAATAACATCTTCATGAGAGATGCCTTTGATCTTGTATTGTTCAGTCACAGAAGACCCAGACTCTGGGCTGGACTCTGGGTGCCTTTTCATGGACCCATACGTTTTGGTGTTCTCTTCTCCCTATGGCTATAAAGGACTCAAATCTAGGTGAAGGCTATAAACTCTAATTCACTTCTATTCTTTTCCAGGACTTTATTAACAAGAATGTGAACAGGAATTATGCTTATTATTTGGGGCTGTCAGATCTGAAGAATGGTCACTGGGAATGGGTTAATGAGACACCACTCAATCAAAACGTCACGTGAGTATTGAATTGGGTAAGAGGTTGCTGAATCCTGCAGACAGTAGGGACTTTAGGGTGCTTCAAACAGCAGCTTTAAAATAATACAGCTCAAACATAACTTCTGGACATTAATTTTCATATTTTAATTTGCATTCTGCTTCTAATCACTTCAAGAAGTCTGTAAAGAATCATTTTCTTTTTCTCCATGTAGAAATGAGAACACTGAATTAAAAGAGTTTATATAACTCAGGAAAAGTTTTCTGTGGTAGCAGTGATTATCTTCCAAGCTAGGTTTATTTGACATGAAAGCCTAAGCTTGTGAAATTTATATATTCAAGATAATAAAATTCATGTCAAGAAAAATCATAGCCATTCTTAAAATGTAAGCCCTAGAATAAATCAGTAAGCTAAATTCTGTAAGTCTTAATGTATCTTTTATTTATATCAGTGAAATAAACCCTCTAAGGCCAGAGCGATAGTACAGAAGCTAGGGTGTTTGCCTGCATGCCTTCCACCTCGCCTCGGATCTATCCCTAACAGCCCATATGGTCCCCCAAGCACTTATAGGAGTAATTCCTGAGTGAAGAGCCAGGAGTACCCCTGCGAAATGCTGTGTGGGACCCAAGAAGCAAAGCAAAACACACACACACACACACAACTCTTAGATCCTTTAGTACAATTTAGTAAGTTAATACCTTAGAGATTCATAGGAACAATTTGAAATGTATAGGGATAGACTCTAGTTTGATTATTTTAGATTAAGAACAGAATAAGATCATTTTCTCTTAGATAACAGTAGTAGAATCAGAGATATTGATTCTAAGAAATGTAATTTTATTTATTTATTTATTTAAAATTGTTATTTTCCCTTAAACTTTATATAAACACTGATGTATAAAAGTTGTTCATTATGATTTGTTTCACAGGCACTCAATATTTCAACACCAATTCCACCACCATTACACCTTCCTTCCACCATTTTTTCCAACTTTTCCAATCAGCCCTTCAACTTCATAGCAGGCTCTCAATAATTTATTTTATATTGCTTGTTATCAATAGTTTGCTAACAGAATGATCATAAAATATTTCCTTAGAAGAAAGCTAGTGAAGATTGCTGTACTCACCATAGAGCCGTAAGTTCTTTGATAAGAGATTACTAAGGTGTTGATACAGGTTAAGCCTTCTGGTTATATTTTAATAATCGAGACAGGTTGCCTTCTACATTACATCCCATTCAATCTGGTATGCTACTCAGTGTTACAGAATTTTAGATGTTGCTCACCTGCAGAAAGTCCAAAATTTTGATGGGGAGATATAGCTGATGTTAAATTTTTAACTGGGTGGCAGCTTTGGGGCATATGTGTGTGAGACTAAAAGGTCTTCTAGAGTACAGAGGGATGGGCGGAGGTAGGCCATCCTCAAATCTGTGAAAGTCTAGAGATTTCAGTCACAGAATCTGCATTCCTGAGCTTTTTTTTAATCACAGTGAGATACAGTTACAAAGCTTTAATTTTGAGTTTCAGTCATACAATGATCTACCACCCATCCCTCCAGCAGTGCACATTTTCTACTACCAATGTCCCCAGTATTCCTACCCTCCCATCCCAACCCTCCCCCTGCCTCTATGGCAGACAACTTCCCCAATAGCACAATGGGTAGGGTGTTTGTCTTGCACACGGCTGACCCAGGTTCGATTCCTCCGCCCCTCTTGGAGAGCCTGGCAAGCTACCGAGAGTATCCCACCCTGGCAAGCTACCCATGACATATTAGATATGCCAAAAACAGTAACAAGAAGTCTCACATGGAGAAGTTACTGGGCATGCTAGAGCAAATTGATGAACAATGAGAAGACAGTGCTACTCTCGCTCTACTTTTTTGCATCCCTGAGCTTTTCTCATGGATTCATTTCATGGATTTATTTCTGGGTGGGGTTCACCCAAGCACAGAGTCCAGACAGGGGCATGGCAGCAATTGTGGAGAGTGGTGCTGGGTCTCAGGTTGAGCAGGCACTAGGCTCACCCAGCCCTCTCTGGGGTGCCCTTGATAACCCAACCTTGCGAGGGGTCTAGAAGAATCAAATCAAAGATATTTTAAACACATCTCATTTTTCAAAAGTAGTACATAAAAAAGCCCACGCTATTGATATGAACAGGATAAAACTTTTGATCACTAAAGGAGCCCAAGGAATCAGGGGACAAGCATGGACTGAGAGAGGCAGGTCTGCAGGGAGGGTGTCTGACACAAGGGGATGGGGCAGCTCTGGGGAATGGCAGCCCCATTTTCAGGGGAAATGCCAGTAACAGATGGATGGGCCATCTGTGAGGAGTGGGGAAGTAATGATTTGTGTTTCTCTGACCTGACCTCCATAAAGCTCTATGGCAGCCCTTGCTTCACTGTCTCTTTTCAAAGACAATTTGAGAAACATACTTACCCTGTTCTCCTTTTTCAGGTTCTGGCACCCAGGTGAACCCAATAATGACTATGAACACTGTGTTATATTAAATTTGCGTTTCCTAAGGGTCTGGGGCTGGAATGATATCTCTTGTAATGTGCCTCAGCTTTCAATTTGTGAGATGTTGAAGATCTACTTATGAATCGAACATTCTCCATGACCCTGTGATAGAGTTGTCCTTGTTCATTACAGAGAGAGCTAATTTGCTCTTGTGCATCTCCTATAAGGGATCAACAAAGAAGCTTTCAGCAGTCTACCACTTATGAAGAATCAGTATACCTATTTCTTCATTTATTCATTCCAAAAAATCAACAATTGTTTCTCAAAAAATTAGAAATTGAGCTCTCATTTGACCTGGCAATACCACTTCTGGGAATATATCCCGGAAATGCAAAAAGTATAATAGAAATGACATCTTCACTTGTACGTTCATTGCAGCACTGTTTGCAATAACCAGAATCTGGAAAAACCTCAAGTGCCTCAGGACAGACAACTGGTTAAAGACACTTTGGTACATCTACGCAATGGAATACTATGCAGTTGTTAGAAAAGATGAAGTCATGAAATTTGCATGAAAGTGGATCAACATGGAAAATATGTTAAATGAAATGAGTCAGAGAAAGAGGGATAGACATAGAAAGATTGCACTTATTTGTGGAATATAAAGTAACAGAATGGGAGACTAGCACCCAAGCATAGTAGAGATAAGTACTAGGAGGCTTGGAAGCCATCCTCATGTGCTGGGGGAAAAGGCAGCTCAGATAGAGAAGGGACCACCACGTAAAGGGTGCTTGGGGGGCCCTCCCAGGATGGGACATGCGAGCTGTAATTAGACTATAGACTGAACATGATACTTATTTAACACCTGCATTGCAAACACAGTACCCAAAAGGAGAGAGAGAGAGAGAGAGAGAGAGAGAGAGAGAGAGAGAGAGAGAGAGAGAGAGAGAAAGGGAGAGAGAGACAGCAAAATGGAATGCGCCTGCCACAGAAGTGGGATGGGGGTGGGGGGAGGGATACTGGGATCATTGGTGGTGGAGAATGGGCACTGGTGGAGGGATGAGTACTCAATCATTATATAAATGAAACGTAATCACGAAAGTTTGCAAGTTTGTAACTGTACCTTATGATGATTCATTAAAAAAATGAAAAAAAAAGCAACAATTATTAAACATTTCCAGTGAAGACACTATATGGGAGAACCTTTTCATTGACAACTAGCGGGAATCTGAATCTCCTACTTTTTATCTAATTGCTCAGGGGTTAGCTGTGATTACATTATGTGGCTCCCTATTTCCAATGCTCTTTTTATGGATTGATAAATAGGAAAATGATCCCAACTATTGTTTTTTTCTGAGCTAGATAGGTAATTCCGAACTGAAATCTCATGAAACATTTGGAAATCAATACATGTTAATGAAAGAAAAGTTTTAGGTTTATTTATTTATTTATTTATTTAATTATTTTTGGGTCACACCTGGTGATGCACAGGAGTTACTCCTGGCTCTGCACTCAGTGGAGCCTGATAGCATATTGGGGGCTCTTTCAGGGTCAAGGGAATGAGGACCATCATTATTACTTTTTTTGGCACATTGAATACACCACGGATAGCTTTCCAGGCTCTGCCATGTGGACGGTATACTCTCAGTAGCTTGCCGGGCTCTCTGAGAGGGATGGAGGCTTTTGGGGCAGCCTCTAATCACCTTTACAGGTGTTCCCAGACAGGCATATATGCGGGCAGAATATTCTCAGTAGTCTCTGGGTTCTCTGAGAGTGAACTAGAGAATAAGAGCTTGTTTTTATGTTGTCTGGATCCTGGCCGTTGATGAGGTTACACGGCAGTTGGTGGGTGTAACTGTCTAGGTACTGGAAGATGGGGGATCTGGGTGGAGGAGACCCAGTCTCTATTCGAGCAGGCCTGGAGATCTCAGCCCCGGGTCCCGCACACTGGAGTTCCTCTACTGGTTCCTTCATGCATGAGGCTCGTCCAAGCATGTGGAGAGTGGTCTCAGCATGGCTGTGGCTGGGTCCCAGAGATCTTCAGCTGCCAGGGCTCTGTGCGGGGAGGAGAGGGAAACTCAACCCGCCCTCCTCCAAGGGGTCCCGGTGAGGACAGCCTGGTGTGGGGGCAGGAGACTCTGCGTTGTTCTCCACAAATTGAGAACGTAAGTTGTTCTTTGTAATAAAGAACTCAAATCCACTAAAGTAGATTTTTTCCATGGTTCTACCCAAAAGGGAAATTATTAAAACAACTGCTATCTCTGAAAATATCAGTAACATTTTAAATGAAAATATACTAGTGTTACCACAGTGCATAAAGTTCAGAATCTTTCATTTTAATTGATAAAATTTAATTATATTTTTTACATAGCAGATACTATATAGTAGATTTTTTTTACGTTAAATAGCACACATTTAAAAACTTTTTAAAAAGACCTATTCTCAAATTATTCTTCAAATGATTCTAGTTAAAAGTTCTACTTAGGGGGCTGGAGCGATAGCACAGCAGGTAGGGTGTTTGCCTTGCACACGGCCAACCTGGGCTCAATTCCTCTGCCCCTCTTGGAGAGCCTGGCAAGCTACCGAGAGTATCTTGCCTACACAGCAAAGCCTGGCAAGCTACCTGTGACGTATTTGATATGCCAAAAACAGTAACAACAAGTCTCACAATTTGTTGTGAGAGTTACTGGTGCCTGCTTGAGCAAATCAATGAACAATGGGAGGACAGTGCTACAGTGCTAATTATATTTTTTTACATAGCAGATTTCCTCTGCCCCTCTTGGAGAGCCCGGCAAGCTACCGAGAGTATCTCACCCACACGGCAAAGCCTGGCTAGCTAACTGTGACGTATTCGATATGCCAAAACACAGTAACAATTGTCACAATGGAGACATTACTGGGCCCGCTCAAGCAAACTGATGAACAATGGGAGGATAGTGACAGTGACAGTAACATAGCAGATGGGTGGAGTGATAGAACAGTGGTAGGGCGTTTGCCTTGCTTGCAGCTGGCCCAGCTGAACCGGATTTGATTCCTCCACCCCTCTCGGAGAGCCGGGCAAGCCCAGCAAGCTACTGAGAGTATCTTGGCCACACGGCAAAGCCTGGCAAGCTCCCCATGATGTATTTGATATGCCAAACACAGTAATAGCAAGTCTCACAATGGAGACGTTACTGGGCCCACTGGAGCAAATCGAACAACGGGAAAACAGTGCTACAGTGGTACATAGAAGATACTATATGGTAGATTTTTTTTTACGTTAAATAGCACGCATTTAAAAACTTTTTAAAAAGACGTATTCTCAAATTACTCTTCAAACGATTCTAGTTATGAGTTCTGCTTAGGGGGCTGGAGTGATAGCACAGTGGGTAGGGCATTTGCCTTGCATGTGGTGACCTGGGTTCCATTCCCAGCATCCCATATGGTCCCCCAAGCACCATCAGGAGTAATTCCTGAGTGCATGAGCCAGGAATAATCCCTGTGCATTGCCGGGTGTGACCCAAAAAGGAAAAAAACAAATTTCTGCTTAGCTGTCTTTTATAGAAGAAGGCAGGGGGTGAAGAGTGGGGGTAATGGGAGGAAACCTCGGGACACTGGTGCTGGGAAATGTACACTGTTGGAAGGATGGGTGTTGGAATACTGCTTGACTAAAATCCAATCATGAACAGCTTTGGATTGAACTATCTCACAGTGATTCGATTAAAAAGTAAAAAAAAAGTTCTTTCTACAATACAGTAGTTAAGGTACTTACCTTGCTTGCAGTGAAGCTAATTTTTATAATATATCAGTTTTATCGAGGTACTAAGATTTAAAACACTCTATATGCTATTCAGGCATACACTATTTAAATATGCCTCCCATCACAGAGTACCAGCTTCTCTCCATATGTATCCTCTGGACCCCTCCCAGCCTCCCTTCTCCCCATGGGACAGTTTTATGGACAAAATCTTCAGTTCTGATGACTTTGGTCCTTTGTTGTTCCCTTACTGTTTTTTTCTATCCCACATATGAAAGATCTTTAAAAATATTTATTGTTTTTGCTTTTGTTTTTAGGTCACTAAGGGTATGCTAAGGGGTTACTACTAGCTCTGCACTCAGCAATTAACTCCTGGTAGTGTTTGGGGACCTTATGGGATGCTGGGATGGAACTCGGTCAGCTGCATGCAAGGCAAGCATCCTACCAGCTGTAGTATCGCTCTGTAATCCAAAGCAAGTTTCTTCTGATCACAGAAGGGACTGAGAACCAAGAAAAGGGAGAAAACTTGAATGAAATCTTTGTGTTAGATTGGAATTCAAGGTATCATTTTTGAGGCATTGTTGAATTTTCAATACATTAAAATATAAAACGAAATGGTGTGTGTGTGTGTGTGTGTGTGTGTGTGTGTGTGTGTTTTCGGCAAGGAAAGGAGAAAATAAGTGAGGGAGTTGAATAATAAACATTTGGGAAGAGATAAATCTAGGATGCGCTCTAGAAAGATTCCACATGAAGAATTTCATTGTTGATGCATCCTTCTGGCCCAGGGGAAAAACATTCCTATGTAGCTTTTAGTTGATCTCCTTCTCCATTCTAAGTTTTTTCTTTTATCAATGGCTATTCCTGATGTGAGTCCCACGGGTGGCTCATTGAAGAGGGGTGGAGAAAGACCATCACTTTCTTCCAATCCTCCTCTGCTACCCGATGCCCAGCATTACTGGGTTCCTGTCTCACCTCGCAGAAAGGAATTTCAGGAGTAGAAGAGCAGTGAAATGACACAGTTTTTATTTTGAGTTTTTGAAGGGAAGGAGGGAGGGAAAGCGGGAGAGAGTGGAGAGTAACCTGCTCAAGAGAGAGTCTGGGCTTCTCCAAGGGCAGATGTGAGCCCCTATACACATCCCAGCATTGGACACAAAAGCATGAAAGCACACATCTCAAGAGGGGAGATGCGGGTGACACATGTGCTCAGGCACCACGTGTGCTCGGCCATATGGGGGCAGGCAGCATATGCGTGCCCTTCCTTTGTTCAAGGTGGCCTTTCTGGGTTTCTGCAATTTGCCTCTATGTGGGGCTTCTACCTAGGTAAAAGTCTGTTGCTAGGGAGGTTATCAAGGGGATTGGGAGTGGTGATGGTCTTTGAAATTCCTTTTCTGACTTTTGTTTCTGCAGGAGCTTCTGTTGGATGGGGTTGGTCCAGCCTCTTCAGGGTCTGTTACAGACTGACACCAGTTCTCCATGAGGTCAGGGCTATGACTTCCCAGGAGATTTACTGCCATTGCCTTGGGAAGGGGCCTTCCCTATCTGTCTGCCTACATCACTCCCAGATGTGTTTGGAGGTTGCAGTTTTCTGTGCGGGGGCACCCAGTAGTGCCAGATATAAAATCTGGGTGTCCTGTTTGCAAAGCATACCCTTAGCACATGGACTATCTCTCCAGTCCTCCTCCATTCTGATAGGATCACATTTTTCTGAAAAAAAAAATACATCTGCATAATTTTCTGTGGTGGGTTGGTGGGGGAGGCCAGAGATGAGAGAAAGGAAATTTAGAGTCACCTCTTCCTCTAATCTCTGAGAGAGAACGCTGACTTTGGGAGATGGTGGACATGTTTAGGACTAGCGTTAGGCTTAGAGTTAGGGTTAGGGTTAGGGTTAGGATTGGGGTTGGTTTAGAGTTAGGAAGTGAGAAATTTATGATAAAGTTAATGAACAATTCCAGGGAGAAAGGGGCCCTGAGGAGCAGTGTCAAGAACTATCTGATCTCAAATCTGCCTTCTGGGTATATGAAGGGATGCTGACTGTTAGAAGCAGGTTAGAAGATTAACTGTAGCTGTTTCTTCTTGGTCTTCTTTTCCCTGATAGGTCACACATGGCGAGGGGCATGCAACATAAACAAGCATGTGACCAAGGTTGGTCTTCCATCATGTTTGGGCGCACAGGCCCACAGATGCTTACAATAACCAGATTCTAGTTATTGTAAAGAGTGCTGCAATGAACAAACAAGTACAGATGTTACTTCGACTATACTTTTTTGCTTCTCTGGGATATACTCCCAGGAGGACCACAACATTTTTGGATAAATAACCTTTAATATAGTGTTCTTTTAAAAATATATAGAAAATATCTAAAGCATTCTTAATGCTGATGTTTCTAAAAAAATGGAGTATTATTTATTTATTTGGTTTCTGGACCACACCTACTGGTGCTCAGTGCTTTCTCCTGGCTCTGTATCAGGAATTACTATTGGCTGTGCTCTAGGTATCAGATAGGATACTGGAAAAGGAATCCAGGAAAGCTGTATATCAAAAGGCAAGTGTCCTACCCACTACTCTCCAGCCCCTGGGATGTTTTTAATGGAGCTGTGGAACTTTTATGAATGCTATATAGATTTTTAAAAATAATTATTGATAGTATATTTTGAGCAACTTCTATAAATATGACAAGCAAAGCACAACAATTTACATCTATTCAGTAATAACAATTTACTAATGTGAATTTTAATTGTAAGTATATGGAATACTTCAGAAGTGTTTTTTCCTCCCTGATTTATCTATGTAGTCCTCCAGGGTATAATATAATTTTATACTTTAGAATTGATTTGAGTCTATGGTCATATTTTTATTGGGCAAGCAGGTCTTCAGATTTTTAAAAATAAATTTGTAACAATTTACTAACTTTTGGTGTTCCTGTAACTAGCAGACACCATTGGGCTACACTAGCACACGACAGGTTTAAATGGAGATGTTACTGTCACCCACACAATCGATGTGTAACAGGATATCAAGTGATCAAGTGAAGTAACAATTTAAGAAATTAGGTTTATTTATTTTTATCTATCATCTATTTATTTATGTATTTTTAATGAATCACTGTGAGATACAGTTACAGAATTATAAACTTTCATGCTTATATTTCAGTCACACAGTGATGGAGTACCCATCCCTCCACCATGCACCTTCTCCACCAACAATGATCCCAGTATCCCTCCCACATCCCCCTTCATTCCCCCGCAGTTCTTCAGTTTCATTCCCCCGAAACTTCCTAAGGGTGAGTCACAGGGAGGATTTCTTAGTTCCTTCTTTTTTCTCTTTTCATGACGTCCAACCTCATGAACAACCCACAAGTCCAGCAGCAAATATTGCATCATCTCAGGGAGCCTCACCCCCTGGGGACCCCGACCCCAAGCCCTGGCAGAACTACCTGGGCTGCCTCCTCCAGGCGGGCCAGCAGCTGGCCCAGCAGCTGCAGCTGCAGACGCCGGAGTGGCTGGAGCAGCGATGCAGCCAGACTCGGGTGCCTGGTGCCAGCCAGGACGAGAGGCCGGAGTGACCCCGGGGCCCAGGTGTCCCAGGCCCGCCGGAAGCCGCTCCCTCGGGGCTGCCCATGGGAAAAGAAAGACCCTGGAACTCCATTCTGTTTCTCTTTGGCCTCCCACCTCAACCCCTAATTTTAGTCTTAACGTCCCCGGAGTCCCCAGTTGGCACATAGCAGTGCCCCGCCTCGCCCCTACGCAAGCAGATGTTGCCCCATGCCCCCCAAGCCCTGCCCCTCTGCAAGGACCTCGTATCTGCCCTGTGCCAGGGCTACTAGAGGGACGCGTTGGTGTCCGGTTCCTGCCTCCCTTTGGGTCATCCCTGACACGTCACTTACGGCCTGTGGGAGCCCCACGGAGGGACCTGTTGCCACTCTTCACCTCCAGGAGGGCGAGCAGAGGGTACCCACAGAGGATAGCCTGTGTCTCTCTGGAGCGTGGTCATAGCAGTGGAGGACACCCCACTAGCCACTACAACCCGTCTCCACCAATGCCAGAGCTGTAACTTGTGTAAAGTTGGGGAATAAATTCATGACTCAAAAAAAAAATAGGTTCCTCTTTTCTTTTCCTTCCCATATCTTCTACTTGGTTTCCAAGTTCCTATTTTTTTTTACATTTTTCTTCTGAGTTTAAGGGCTATGACTTTTGCTGTGTTGGTCTTGGGGATCAAACCTCTGGCTGAGGATTTTAGTTCTCATGCGATTTTTCTGAGCCTGTGTGATTAGTGGGACCTCGGTGCTCCTGCAGAGCTGCTCTAAGTTGTTCTCAAAGTGATGGGAAGCCTGGCGTGAAGAGAGCAGTACGTCTCTCCTCAATATGACCACAGAGATCACCTACGCTGAAGTGAGATTCAAAAACGAAGCCCAGTCCTTGGACACCCCATCACAGACTCCTGCAGGTAAGAAACATTTTCTGCAAGTTCATAATGAGATGAAGGACGGAAAAGGAAGTGTGTCAGAGAAGCATAGGTGACATTAGTTGTTAATTTTTTCTACTGATGAAGTTGGGAAATGCAGGTTGTTAGTAGCTTGAGTTGTCTAATAAGAAACAGAAAAAGGAGTGACTACCCCAAAAGTGAGGTGTGAGAACTAACCCTCAACCCCACCCCAGCCATGCTAAGGGGAGTGCTGTTAAGTTGAGCATTGCTCTGTCTTGTGGGGTTATTGAGTCTACAGTCAAGAGATCGGTGTTCAGCTCTTGTAACCACTGGTCCAGATGCAGCGCCTTTGATGAATGAATGAATGAATGAGCTCTATTCCTTGATTAGAGAGGAAGATGTTTTCAGGGACTGTGTGTGTTCATTTGTTAAATGTGTTAGTTGTGCAATCAGGGATAACAAAAGGCCTCTGCAGGTTAAAGACTAGAAAGGTTAAAGACAGTTTATTACTTCTCAAGGGAAATACCTCTGCCATCAGAAAATTCTTTTTTTTCGGGGGTGTACACGAGACGATGCTTGGGATTTATTCCTCTCTGCACACTCAAAAATCACTCCTGACGGAGCTCAAGAGACCACGTGGGGTACCAGGGACCAAACCTGCGTCAGCTCTGTGCAAAGTAAGCACCTTATCTGCTGTACTATTTCTATGGTCCCACCCAGAAATATTTCATACCAGTTTCCAAGATGAATTAAATATAGTTTTGGATAGTGGAGCAATGTAGTTTGAGTAGCATGTAATATATCTTACACAGAGTGGAAAACAGAGAGAAAAAAGCACATATAATATAAGAAACTAAGAAACATGATGCATTTGTGATCATAATTGTTCATGTTTTCCAAAAACGTGGAAATATGAAGAATTCTCAGGAAAATTTCTTCTTCCTGTAACATAAACTTTACCATATGTTGAAGTATTCATTATAGAAAAAAGTTAAGTTTAAATCATATTTATTCTTATCTAGATACTAGTAATTTAGATTTTAGTGCATTTGACTCCAGATATAAGTAAATGTAAGCATTCCTTTTGTAAAATTGAAATCATATTGTATATTATTGAGAGGATTTCTCATTACTTGGGAATATATCATAACTTTGAGAAAATTAATTTATTTTTTGCTTGGGAGCCACATCTGAGCTACTCATGAGCTCTTCCTGGGTCCATGATGGGGAGGTTCCTCCTAGTGATAGTTAGGGGATCATGTTGTCAGGAAGGTAACATGTGTCTCCAGCATGCAAGGAATACGCTCAGTCCTTTGTGTCATTTTTCCAGCCAAATAGTTTCTTTCATTGAGGTAATATTGATTTATAACAGGGCTTTAAAAACTTACCTACTTAAGAACTCTTCTTCTGGGGTGCAAGCTGCCAGAAACACCTCAGCCTCATTATGTGATTGCTTCTGAATTAAGTTTGGGTCATTGCATGTTCAGAAACATTTTCATACATTTTACTACAAAACTTGACAAGGGTTGACTCAAAGACTTAGCTGCTATGGCATTATTTAAGGACAGACAAAAGTTTGAAGGAATAGAAGTTCAGATAACTGTTTGCCTGTGAACTGAAATACTATGCAAATAGAAAAGAGAATATTGGAAAAAAAGCAGCTGGTAAAATTGATCATGCTGAAATCTCCAGGCTTTCCCAGAGTGGGGGTGGACTACCTCTCCCCACTTCCAAATACTTCTAAGCAATCAATCCCATGAACCAACTCCAGCGCCATCAAGTAAGCTCTTCTACCAGCCTTGATACAGAGACCCAAAATAAATCTCGAAAGAGATCAAAAGTCGCAGTTAATCTTAGACCCACACATGGCTGAACAGACTGGGATAAATTGGAGGGGGCAGGCCAGTCTGGTGCCCGACCGAAAAGAGCCCCTGGTTGCTGCTAGCTCCCACAATTCAAAACCGCCACTATACCCTAGGTCCCACAATCTAAAATCAAGACCATGCCCTGGGTCTGACTCCGCTGTCTCAGGACGGACATCACAGAGATATAATCTGCTGAAAGTTCTGGTATTCGTTTTTCTGTAACTGAAATCTCCAGGCTCATAAACAAGTTAACACATATAGAGATATAAAATTTATGGTAAAAGAACAAAGACCATACAATAAAGTAAAACCTCTTAAACAAGGTGGCAGGAAACAACTGCGAAAACACAAAACATAAAACTAGATCATGACTTAACAACATAATCAAAAATTAACTCAAAAGGCAAAATGCATTAAAGTTTGGATATTAGACCTGAAACCTTAAACTACATAGAAGGAAGGAAACTGAAATACTCCAGGACCTAAACTTTAAAGCTCTATTTGGGGACCCAACCCCAATGGTAAAGGAAAAAAAATCAGAATTAATAAATGGGACTGCATCAAATTAAAAAGTTTTTGTCCAGTAAAATAACTAATCCCATAAATAAAAACAACAATATAAAATCTGGAGAAATGTTTGCACATATTGTGTTTGAGAAGGGGTTAATATCCAAAAAACATTAAAAAAAAAGACACCCATAAGTCAGTAACAAAATAGCAAGCAACCCAATATAAAAGTGGACAAAAGATTTGAATAGACATGTGTTACAAAAAATACACAAAGATGTCCTATGAATACATGAAAAAGAGTTCAGTGTCACTTATTAAAAGGAGATTGAAGTAAGAACTACAATGAAATATTACCTTACACTAATGATAATAGCTTATGCTAAAAATATTGAAACAGTGTTGGCAAGAATATTGGGAAAAAGGAACTCTGACAAATTTTTGGTGAAAATAAAATGGTGTACACTGTAGAAAATGCTATGGAGATTCCTTGGGAAAATAAACATGAAGATTTCATATGATCCATAATAACTTTCCTAATCATTTATGTGAAAATAGAACAAATAATCATAGAAAAGGATATGTTTACCTCTATGTTCATTATTCACATTATTAACATTAGCCAAAACATGGGGTCAACATACATGCCCATCAGAGATGGTTGGATAATGAAATTGTGGCATATGAAATCAATACAAATATTTGTTAAAAAAGATAAAATCCTAATTTTGGGGACAAGATGAATAGAACTTGAGGTGAGTATGCTAAGTGAAATAAGAAAATGAAATACTTTTACAAGATCATCGATAGCACAGTGGTAAGGCGTTCGCCTTACAAGCGGTCAACATGGCCGACCCAGGTTCGATTCCTCCGCCCATCTTGGAGAGTCCAGCAAGCTACCGAGAGTATCTCGCCCGCAGGGCAGAGCCTGGCAAGCTACCCGTGACGTATTTGATATGCCAAACACAGTAACAACAAGTCTCATGATGGAGATGTTACTGGGCCCGCTCGAGCAAATTGATGAATAACAGGAGGACCATGTCTACCGTGTCTATATGCGGAATATAAATCACTGAAGCAAATGAACTTACAAAATCCAAGAGAACTGGGCCTGGGGATAATTCAGTGGTTGCTTAATTTAAAAGCATGAAATCAAAAGTTCGATCCCCATCCCTGTCCCATATGCCAAGCGTGATTCTGGCAGCCTTGCTGTTCATGATTTGTGGTGCCACAGAAGAGTCTGTGCCCCACCACCAAGTGTGTTCCATCTCTTCAACTGTGTGTGAAACCTCTGGTGAGCACCACAACAGAAGTGGTGGGCGTTTCTTGTGATAGCAACCAACAACAAAGGGAAAGAAAGGGATAAAACCTAGGTGCAATAAATAAATATACTGCATTGTAGCACTGTTCTCCCATTGTACATCGATTTGCTCGAGTGGGCCCAGTACTTACTCCATTGTAAGACTTGTTGTTACTGTGTTTGGCATATCGAATACGTCACGGGGAGCTTGTCAGGCTTTGCTGTGTGGGCGAGACACTCTCGGTAGTTTGCCAGGCTCTCCAAGAGGGGTGGAGGAATTGAATTTGGGTCTACCGGGTCGGCCGAGTGCAAGGCAAACGCCCTACTCACTGGGCTATCACTCCAGTCAATAAGTAAATAAATAAATATAAAAAGCAATAAAACTCACTCTTAGATGAGTTTTGTTGGAAAATCTATTAATTGTAGAAGTGGGAGGAAAGGTTAGAAGGATCTTTCTAGCAATGCAATGGTAGTAAAACTTTGGTGGTAGGTATGATAAGAATTATGCATATATAGGAATGTGGAAGCAACCCCTGGAAATTCCATAATATTGTAAATCAATGAAAAATAAAGATTATGTACCATGTGTTAAAAACAATAGGTTATCAAATAATATATGGTGATCCAGACATTTTGTAAAATGTTGCTATTAAAATATTTATTATTTAAGTATGAAATATTTAAGTTATAACATATCTAAATGCATTAGAATTAAACAATGTATAAATATTTAATATTAAATTATTTTCATGTCAAAATACTAAAGAAGTGATCCTTAATGGTAGGAACTCATGCTCTTACATGTTTTCCTAGGTTTCTACAATGAGTGGTTTTAGTTACTTTTCTTTTAAATGTCACACTGTCTGTGTTAATGCACCAATCACAAAAAGGGACAAGAAGAAGGACTGGTCTGACTGTATTACTGATGAACCTAATTTGGTTTCTCTTGCAGCTCCCAAAGAGAAGACTAGCCCTCCCCAAAGTAACTCTGGTTACCTCAAACTACTCCTTGCCGCATTGCTGATTCTTCTGCTGCTGACAATCTTATTTTTAATCACCTTTATCGGTAAGTAGCTAATAGAATCAGGAAGGAATATCTCCCTACCTGAAGAATATAGCATCCTTTAGACACTGGCAATGTAACAGTGGATTTGACCAGAAGAGCTGAAGTCTTCTCTAGGGGAGACAGAACAAACAGGCATCAATTGGAAATGTGGTGCTTTATATGAATGCAGTTACTCTTGACACCAACTTTCTTTGGAGAAAGTAAAGTCTGTATGTATATGCACAGGTTTGTGTAGTAGAGTGACACATCTAGGGTATCATTGTCTGCATTAGACTGATGGGTAAATGAGGACAAATGTCTAATCCTTACCAGTGGTGTTCCGACCTTTTCTTTTTTTTTGTTATATTTATTTATTGAATCACTGTGGGGAAAGTTACAAAGCTTTCAGGTTTAAGTCTCGGTCATACAATGATCAAACACCTTTCTCTTCACCAGTACTTATTTTTCACCACCAGGAACCCCAATATACTCCCTCCCACCCCTCCCAATGCCTGTCAGGCAGATGATTTCTACTTAACACTCTACTTTGATTACATTCATTGTTTCAACAAAAGATGCACCATTATTGTTTAGAGTTTCCACCCAAAAATCAGAACTGCTGAAAAGGCATTGTAAAATTTGTTTTCTATAGTTGGTTATGGACTGGAGTGATAGCACAGTGGGTAGGGTGTTTGCCTTGCACGCGGCTGACCTGGTCGGGCCAGGTTCGATTCCTCCTCTCGGAGAGCCCGGCAAGCTACCGAGAGTGTCTTGCCCTCAGGGCAAAGCCTGGCAAGCTCCCCAGGATGTATTCGATATGCCAAACACGGTAACAACAAGTCTCACAATGGAGATGTTACTGGGCCCGCTAGAGCAAATCGATGAGCAACGGGAGGACAGTGACAGTGACAGTTGGTTATGAGAAGCATATGATGTCACGTGGCCATGTGATTTTGGATTTTTGATATTTTACTAATTAAATCTGGAGGGATTTCTGCCAAGAGCCAGATAGTTATGGGATTGGTCTCTGTGGCTCTGGAGCCATGGCCATGCTGGAGAGCCGCTCGTGGGGGGGGCAACTCGTGACCTTGGTAGGGCCTGAAGAATGAGACAGGAACACCCCCCCTTCCCATGAGGTTGCAGTTGCCCTGTCACCACCGGCTCATACCTGGCTTTCCAATAAGCTCTGAGGCGGCTGCCACCTTGGCTGCCTGTCGGGAAGAAGGCAGAAGGGATTGTTCAGACCTTCTAAAGTGCAGGCACATAGTTTGGGATGACCAAGAAGAAAAGGATAATGGGAAAAATATTTCAGGCAGAGTTTTCTATTGAATTTTTACTTTATTCCTTTTTGCCCTGTAATACATACATGTTGTAAAAGTTTGTTGCAAAGAAGTAGATATCCATATCCTGCTATCTACAACATGCATATCCTTGGCTTCAAAATTTTTAAAAACTTTGGGGCCATACTCAGAAGTGTTTAGGGCTTACTCCTCACTCTGTACTCAGGGATCACTCTGGTGGTTCTCAGGGTCCAGGGGACCATTTATCTACTGTACTATCTTTTTGGTCCCTGGCTTTAAGAATTTTTAAAAGATTCTTAAAAGGTTTGAAAACCAGTACATATTTGGATGTATATTTCATTCACTAATTTCGTCATTCAATATGCAAAGATAACTGAAAAAAAAAATCAGTGGTTTCAACATCCGTAGGATTAGAATGTGTTGAATGCTGGGCAATGAGGTATTTTTTCCCACAGTTAGCATCCTTCTATTGCGGAAATTGTATATTATGGGTTTCGTTCAAGAAAGTAACAATAAAAAATAAAAAAAACCTTAGCAGTACCAGGAAAATGAACGGTGTTATTCTCTTCCTAGTGTTTTTCCAAAAATATTGTAAACTTGTTCAAGAAGAGAAGTTTACACAAGAACTGACTCACACAATGTTGGAATGTAAGAAAAATAACTTGAGCATGGAAGGTAAGAACTAATATGCATATAATGGAATTGCTGGCTATACTCATAGAACTAATGACTATACTCATAGAACTAATGACTATACTCATAGAACTAATGTACATATAATTATTAATAATTATTACTAATATAGAACTAATCGAACTAATAGGGCTGGAGCGATAGCACAGCGGGTAGGGCGTTCGCCTTACAAGCGGCCAACATGGCCGACCCGAGTTCGATTCCTCCGCCCCTCTCGGAGAGCCCGGCAAGCTACCGAGAGTATTCGATATGCCAGACACAGTAACAACAAAGTCTCCAATGGAGACGTTACTGGGCCCGCTCGAGCAAATCGACGATCAACGGGAGGGCCTTTTATTTATTATAGAACTAATATATTTATGTGTAAGAACAATTATGCACATAATTGAGTTATGAACTATACTATACTATACCCTACTCCCTTTGTGGCAAGCTGCCATCCATGGACCATTCCTCCTGGCCCTTGTTTCCACTGTCCTGTTTCCACTGTCAGCAGAGCCTCGCAAGCTACCCATGATGTATTCGATATGCCAAACACAGTAACAACAAAGTCTCCAATGGAGACGTTACTGGGCCCGCTCGAGCAAATCGATGAACAACAGGAGGACAGTGACAGTGACAGTTTCCACTGTCATACTATATTTTTCATTAAAAATTTTTTTAGTTAAGTCACTGTGAAATAAATTGTTATAAAATTACCAATAATCAGGTTTCATTATACAATGTTCCAACACCCATCCCTTCACCAGGTTACATTTCCCACACATATCAATAGTTCCAGCAAGATTCAGTAAGTATGAATGGGTACAGCATACTTACGAGCTGTTTTATAATAGTTTTATTTTTTTGCTTTTTTGGGTCACACCCAGCAATGCTCAGGAGTTACTCCTGGCAGTGCTTGGGGGGCCATATGGGATGCCAGGGATCGAACCCAGGTCGGCCGCGTGCAAGGCAAATGCCCTACCGGCTGTACTATCGCTCCAGTCCCTGTTTTATAATAGTTTTAAGTGACATCTATATCAGGTCTCAATTATTTTGTGCGCATAATTTTTAATTAATCTGTGAAAAAATTGATTGAATAGTTTTTTTGATTTCTTCTCTGTTTTGCCACACCTGGCAGTGCTCAGGCTCTCTCTCTCTCTCTCTCTCTCTCTCTCTCTCTCTCGCTCTCGCTCTCTCTCTCTCTCTCGCTATATATATATATATATATGTATATATATACATATATATATTTGTTGAATCACCGTGAGAACAGTAACAAAGCCTTTCAGTTCATGTCTTGGTCGGTCATACAATGATCAAACACCTGTCCCGTCACCAGTGCACATTTTCCACCACCAAGAACCCCAGTATATCCCCCCTCCCACCCAACCCCCACCTGTGTGGCAGATTTCCACTTTACTCTCTCTCTCTCTCTCTCTCTCTCTCCACACGTTGATCACATTCAATATTACGACAAAAGACCCACCATTGTTATTTGGAATTTTCCCCAACATTCAGACCTGCCACAAAGACATCATTAGAGAATTTGTTTTCTATTGCTGATTATGAAGAGCATATGATGTTGTGTGGCCACAAAGGCAGCCACGTGAATTTGGATTTCTAATATTTTAGTAATAAACCTAGAGGGATTACTGCCAGAAGCCCCTGGGTTCCGAGATTGGTATGTGTGCCTCTGGGTTCATGGTCAGTCAGAAGCCAAAGGAGGTGTTTGAGGGTGGCAACCTGGAGCATTGTCATGGCAGGGAGCAGGGCCGAATCCATGCCCCATCCCATGAAGCCCCATGTGCCTCGTCAATGCAGTCTCATACCTGGCTGTTCATTAGGCTCTAAAAGTGCAGGCCACCATGTCGCCGCCATAGAGGGGGACAGGCGGGGGGATAGACACCCTTCCCTTCCCAGGAGTGCTCAGGTCTTAACCTTGGTTCTGCATTTAGGGATCACTCCTTGGCGGTGCTCTGAGGATATTATAGGGTGTCAGGTATGAAACGCAAGTCAGGCACATGGAAGGCAAGCCCCTGCCCATTGTACTATAACTCCATTGGATTTCTTTAGTCTTCACTTCTCTCTGTACTTTATGTTACTCCTACTCCCCCCCCCCACATATCTGTTAAAACTGACTTAAGAGAGATCAAATTCAGTTGTGTGTGTGTGTGTTTTAATTTTTACTAGTGAAACACCACAAGGTACAGTTGTAGACTTACAAATTTTTGTGCTTGGGTTTCAGTTATACAATGATTGAGTACCCATCCCTCCATCAGTGCCCATTTCCACCACGAATCCTAGTATCCCTCCCACCCACCCCCAACTCCCCATCCCACGCTGTCTCTGTGGCAGGGCATTCCCTTTTGTTCTCTCTCTCCTTTTGGGTGCTGTGGTTTGTAAATAGGCATCGAATGGCAATCAAGTTCGGTCTATAGTCTACTCTCAGCATGCATCTCCCATCCTGGGAGGATCCTCCCAACACCCTTTATTTGGTGCTCCCTTCTCCATCTGAGCTGTCTTTCCCCCTAGTGTGTGGGGCTGGCCTCCAAGTCATGGAGTAAACCTCCTGGTACTTATCTTGGCTATTCTTGGGTGTTAGTTTCCTATTTTGTTACTTTATGTTCCCCAGATGAATGCAATCCTTCTATGTCTATACTTGTCTTTCTGACTCACTTGGCTTAGCAAGATTCTTTCCATATAGACCACTTGTATGTAAATTTCATGACTTCATCTTTTCTAACAGCTACATAGGGGCTGGAGTGATAGCACAGCGGGTAGGGCGTTCGCCTTACAAGCGGCCAACATGGCCGACCCGAGTTCGATTCCTCCGCCCCTCTCGGAGAGCCCGGCAAGCTACCGAGAGTATTCGATATGCCAAACACAGTAACAACAAAGTCTCCAATGGAGACGTTACTGGGCCCGCTCGAGCAAATTGACGATCAACGGGAGGGCCTTTACCTTTACCTTTACATAGTACTCCATTGTGTAGATGTACCAAAGTTTCTTTAGCCAGTCATCTGTTCTCAGTTGTGTTTTAAGAAAACAAAATATTTCATGCATTCGAATGCTTTTTTAGAGAATACACTGCATACTTATTGGATAGAATTGAAGGCTTGGATATTATGTTTTGTTTCATTTTCCTCTACTTTGGAAGGTACCCAATGACAACACAGTGTCATTTTGGGTTGTAATGACACCACAGACTGACACCTTAAACAATAGATACTTACTTCTTCTAGTCTTGGAGGCTGGAAGGCTTAGATCAGGTGCTGACAGGATTGGTTTCTATTGAGGTAGGACTCTCTGGCTCACAGATCACTGTTTTTTTTGCTGTGTCTTCAGATGACTTCTCATCTTTCCATAGTTGGGGGGAGGGGAGAAGGAGAGAAAGTGAGAGGAAAAAGAAGAGACAAAGGGAGAGAGGGGAAGGCCGAGAGAGAGGAAAGAGGAGAGAGAGGAAAAAGGAGACGAGAAGAGAAATAGAGAGAAGGGAAATGGGAAAGGGAGAAGAAGAGGGAGAGAGGGAAGAAAAGAGAGGGAGAAACATTTCTGATGTATGTTCCTCTCTTTGAAAGGTGAGAGTTTTACTGGGTTGAAACATCCCATTGTTCTGACTCTATTTCATAAAAATTATCTTCTAAAAGCTCTGCCTCCACACATAGTCACTCAAGTATCACGATTTTAGCATATCTGTTTTAAGGGAACACATTTCAACCTTAGCAAATTTGAGAATTTAATGGTTCTCAGCATAAAGAGTAATTTTCCACTGAAAAATGGAACATTTTGAAATTTTCTTCTGAGAGTCTGAATCATTTTTTTAAGTTTTTTTCCCTATCCTGTGGTACTCAGAGCTACTCCTGGCACTGCACTCTAGGATCACTCCTGTCAGGGGTCAGGGGATCATTTGTGATACTGAGCATTGAATTTGAGTCTGCCATGTACAAGCAAGCAACTTGCCTGCCGTTCTATCTCCCTAGCTGCCAAGTTGGGCCTTCAAAAAATATTTTACTTCTAGCTACCTTTACTGACTGCACACAGGCAAGGGAAATGCTTGTTACTACCTGAGGCAAGTGGACTTGACCTACACCATACATGATGGGTATTGATCATGATTTCTATTTAGTGAACATTGGCATTGTGATTCCACAAGATCTATTTCGCTCTTTAAATTTAACAATAGGGCCAGAGCGATAGCACAGCGGTAGGACTTTTGCCTTGCACGCAGCCAACATGGCCGACCCGAGTTCGATTCCTCCGCCCCTCTCGGAGAGCCCGGCAAGCTACCGAGAGTATCTCGACCGCACGGCAGAGCCTGGAAAACTCCCCGTGACGTATTTGATATGCCAAACACAGTAACAACTAAGTCTCACAATGGAGATGTTACTGGGCCCGCTCGAGAAAATTTAACAATACACCTACTTTAAAATTACTTGCCTTAGGTCAGAGTACAGTGGTTACGGCACTTGTCTTGTATGTGGTTAGTCATGGTTTTATTTCTGACACCAAGTATGATCCCCCTAAGGACCACCAAGGTGCACTCCTGAGCACAGAGTGAGGAGTAGTCCCTGAACACTGCTGGATGTGATAGAAAAACAAAACAAAACATCACTTGTCTTATATTGTACTAATATGGCCAAGTATCAACACAGGTAAATCCTGGAGCTGCTGCCCGAAGAACTGGAAGCCATTTGGTTCAAATTGCTACTTTTTTTCTTCTGACGCTAGAAATTGGACTGACAGCAAGAAGAGATGTTCAGGGATGCAGGCGCATCTGCTGGTGGTTGACAGCAAGGAGGAGCAGGTACTATTCGGTCAACATTGGAATCACAGCCCTGCCAGCTCTGTCCCCGTCCTGCTTGGGAGGAAGTTCTCGTGGTCAGGGGTGTTGCTCCCGAGGCATAAGGCTTTGGATAAAATAGATGGGAATGGACATCTTAGTCTTTGAATTCTACACCTTCTTCTGATTCCATTTAAATCCTCCCCATCAATAAGGAGGCTTGAGTGGAAAGATGGGTATATTTGAACCTGAAATATCAGTTAATTATATGAACCCACATACATTTTATAAATTACTACTGGTTCAACGGGGCTATCTCTGGCCCTGTAATTGGAGATTGCTCCTAGCAGGAAGGTCAATCTATGCGCAGCCGATCTGCTTTTGATGTGTCATCCTAAGCATGATCTTCAGCATTTTGTAGCCAATTGAGAACTACTGGTGGGGTAGGGAGGCCTGGCTCTTATGATCTCCAAGCACTAATAAAATGACAACAACTGCCACAACAAGAAGCAGAAAGAGGAAATAAACAGTATGTGATCAGTTGAGAGTAGCCCTAAGTGAAATAGGAAAGGAGCAAACAACAATGAAGTGAAATAACTTAAGAAGTTATCAAGAGAAAGAGAATTCATGTGCAAAATTTCTTCTCCAGAGCGTTGAGACTCCCATCTCCTACTGATGAAGTGGGGGTGAGTGTGAGATGATGATTGACTATGAGCACGGACAAAAATCTCTGCCCTGTGTGCTGGGCACTGCAATCCCCTAATGGACTCTGCTCTGAATTCCTAAATTAAAATCCTAATTGACAAAGAGATATAAGAAATTGTGTCAGAGGAGCATCCGTAGGTATGAGACATTCATGAATGGCATTTGTGTTCTCAGACAGGAGACCTCTCATACTTCTCCCCCTTCTCTACATATAAGCTCACTATGAGAGCAGTTTTGAAGAGGAAAGGGGGTCCTTTCCTGATCATACTGTTTTCTGATCTGGGGACATTAGTGTGCTAACTATTTCAGTTGTTTATAAGCTGCCCTGTATGTGGGGCATTGTAGAGAGGTCTGAAAACCTACTAAAAACACCATCTTCATGAGAGATGTCTTTGATCTTGTATTGTTCAGTCACAGAAAATCTCTTTGCCGGACCCTGGGTGCCTTTTCATGGACCCTTTCATTTTGGTGTTCTCTTTCCCCTATGGCTATAAAGGACTCAAATATAGGTGAAGACTATAAGCTCTAATTCACTTCTATTCTTTCCTAGGACTTTATTAACAAGAATGTGAACAAGAAAATTGCTTATTATTTGGGGCTGTCAGATCTGAAGAATGGTCACTGGGAATGGGTTAATGAGACACCATACAATCAAAGTGCCACGTGAGTATTGGGGGTAAGGGGATCCTGAGTCCTGCAGACTGTAGAGACTTTAGGACCCTCCAATAGCAGCTTTTTAAACAACATAGCTCAAACATAACTTCTGGACTAGTTTGCATGTTTGAATTTGCATCCTGCTACTAATCACCTCAAGATGTCTACATAGCATTATGTTCTCTTTCACTTTGTAGAAATGAGGACACTGAATTATCTATACTGAGTGTAGATAACTCAGGAAAGGTTTTCTGTAGTGGCAGTGATGATCTTCCCACCCAGATTTATTTGATATAGGCTGGAGCAATAGCACAGCGGGTAGGGTGTCTGCCTTGCACGCGGCCGACCCGGGTTTGATTCCCAGCATCCCATATGGTTCCCTGAGCACCGCCAGGAGTGATTCCTGAGTGCAGAGCCAGGAGTAACCCCTGTGCATCACTGGGTGTGACCCAAAAAGCAACAAAACAAAACAAAACAAAAAACCAAAAACAGATTTATTTGATATGAAAGCTGGTGCTTGTGAAATTTGCATACTCAAGATAATAAAATTCATTTCAAGAAAAAACATAGCTATTCTTAATATTTAATCCCTGCCCTAAAGCAATAAGCTAAATTCTGACAGTCCTAAAGCCTCCTATATTCATGTAGTGAAAAAAAAAACCCTGTTAGGCCAGAGTGATAATATAGCATGTAGGATGTTTGCCTTGCATGTGCTCTGCCCACCTCCTGGATCACTCCCTCACAACCCATTGGTCCCCCAAGCACTTCTAGGAGTAATTCCTGAGTGAAGAGCCAGGAGTAGCCCCTGAGCAATGCTGGGTGTGACCAAAAAAGGGAATACAGAAACAAAAAGACAAAGCCCAACTCTTAGATCCTTTAGTACAATTTAGTAAGTTAATACCTTAGAGGCTCATAGGAACTATGTAAAATGTATAGGGGTAGACTCTAGCTCAACTTTTTAGATTAAGAACAGAATAAGACATAATGATCTTAGATGACAATAGTAGAATCAGAGATATTAGTCTAAGAAATTTGCTCAAGCGGGCCCAGTAATATCTCCTTCAACTTGTTACTGTGTTTGGCATATCAAATACGTCATGGGTAGCTTGCCAGGCATTTACGACAGCATAGTGGTAGGGCGTTTGCCTTGCACGCAGCCAACATGGCTGACACAAGTTCAATTCCTCCGCCCCTCTCGGAGAGCCCGGCAAACTACTGAGAGTATTTCGCCCTCATGGCAGAGCCTGGCAAGCTACCCGTGATGTATTCAATATGCCAAACACGGTAACAACAAAAGTCTCCAATGGAGACGTTACTGGGCCCGCTCGAGCAAATCGAAGAACAACGGGAGGGCAGTGACAGCAGTGACAGTCTAATAAATGTAATTTTATTTATTTTTAAAATCATTATTTTTCCCTTAAACTTTATATAAAACACTGTGGTATACAAAGTTGGTCATGATGATCTTTTTATAGGCACTCAATAACCCAACCCCAATCTCACCACCATTATACCTTCTCTCCACCATAGTTTTCAAGTTTCCTAATCACCCTCAATCTCTTAGAAGGTCCTCAATAACTTATTTTATATTGCTTGTTATCAATAGTTTTTTAACAGAATGATCATAAAATATTTCCCTAGAAGAAACCTAGTGGAGATTGTTGTATCTCACCATGGAGCCATTAAGTTCTTTTATAAGAGATGACTAAGATGTAGGTACAGGTTAAGCCTTCTTTTTATATTTTATTAATTGAAATTGACATTATGTCCCATCCAATCTGGTATGCTACTCTTGGTTTATCAGTGTTACAGAGTTTGAGATGTTGCGCAGCTGTAAATGCTTAAGGAAATCCAAATTTTTTGATGAGGTGATACTGCTGGTGTTAAATTTTTAACTGGTTGGCAGCACTGGGGCATGTGTGTGACTGCCAGACCTTCCAGAAGTACAGGGGGTTGGGGGAAGCTAGTTCATCCCAAACTCTGTGAAAGCCTGGAGATTTTAGTCGCAAAATGTGCATACCTGAGTTTTTCCCGTGGATTCATTTCTGGGTGAGGCTCACACTGAGCAGTGGAGACTAGCCATGAGTACGGTGATGATTGTGGAGTGTGCTGCTGGGGCTCTGAGGGGGTGTTAGACTCACCCAGCCTTCTCTGGGGTACCCTCGATGACTCAGTCTTGCACATGCTCTAGAAGCTCCGAATCAAATATATTTTAAACATGTCTCATGCTCCAAAAATAGTACATAAAAAAGCCCATGCTATCGATATGACCAGAATTAAAATTTTTGGTCACTAAAGGGAGCCCATGGAATCATGGCACAAGCATGGACTGAGAGAGGCAGGTCTTCAGAGAGGGTGTCTGACACAATAGGATGGAGCAACTCTGGGGGATGGCAGCCCCATTTTCAGGGGAAATACCAGCAACAGACTAATGGCCATGTGTGAGGAGTGGGGAAGCCATGGGATTTGTGTGTCTCTGGCCTGACCTCCATAACGTTCTATGGCAGCCCTTGCTTCACTGTCTCTTTTCAGAGACAGTTTGAGAAACATACTTACCCTGTTCTCCTTCTTCAGGTTCTGGCATCCAGGTGAACCTAGTAATGGCAATGAACATTGTGTTATGTTAAATTTTCGTAACCAAAAATGGGGCTGGAATGATATCCCTTGTCACGACCCTCAGTATTCAATTTGTGAGATGTTGAAGATCTACTTATGAATGGAACATTCTCCATGATCCTGTGGTAGAGTTGTCCTTGTTCATTACAGAGACAGCTAATTTGCTTTTGTGCATCTTTATAAGGAATCAACAAAGAAGCTTTCAGCAGTTTGCCACTTATGACAAATCAGTGTACCTTTTTCTTCATTTATTCATTCAAAAGAACCAACAATTATTGAACATTTTCCAGTGAAGACACCATATTGGAGAACCTTTTCATCGACAACTAGAGGGAACTGAGTCTCCTAATTTTTGTCCAATTGCTCAGGAATTAGCTGTGATTACATTATGTGACTGCCTATCTTCAATGCTCTCTTTATGGATTGATCAATGGGAAAATAATACCAACTGTTGATTTTGGTTTTTCTGAGCTAGATAGGTCATTCTGAACTGAAATCACATTATGAAACATTTGAAAATTAATGCATGTTAGAGGAAGAAAAGCTTTAACTTTGACAAGTACATTCTATGTTTAATCATTTGTTGGGTGATGAACAGACTATTACTTCTCAGGTATTTTGATATTATTTTAGTGTTATTATAGTGAATGCTATTTAAAATATTGGTTATGAAGACTAAGATAAAATGAAAATCTTTTCCTGACAATAAAGGCTACTGGGATTGTTTGGCCTCAACGTGAGGGCCCTAGAACAGCAGGAAAATCCAAGGAAGACTTTTAAAAAAAATTTTTATTAGTGAAATACCATGAGATACAGTTGTAGACTTACAAATTTTTGTGCTTGGGTTTCAATTATACAATGATCAAATACCCATCCCTCCACCAGTGCCCATTTTTCACCACCATGGATCCCAGTATCCCTCCCACCCCCATCCCTCCCATCCCACCCTGCCTCTGTGGCAGGGCATTCCCTTTTGTTCTCTCTCTCTCTCTCTCCTTGAGGGTTTTATGGTCTGCAAAAGAGGCATTGAGTGGCACACATGTTCGGTCCATAATCTACTCTCAACATGCATCTCCCATCCTGGGAGGATCCTCCAAACACTCTTTATTTGGTGCTCCCTTCTCTATCTGAGGTGCCCTTTTCTCTAGCATGCCCAGCTGGCATCTAAGCCATGGAGTAATCCTCCTGGTACTGATCTAGGCAATTCTTGGGTATTAATCTCCTATTTTGTTACTTTATGTTCCCCAGATGAATGCAATCTTTTTATGTCTATCCCTCTTTCTGCCTCATTTCGCTTAGCATGACACCTTCCATGTAGTACCACTTGTATGTAAATTTCATGATGTCATCTTTTCTAATAGTTACATAGTACTCCAAGTACTATGTTACATAGTTACATAGATGTACCAAGTTTCTTTAACCAGTCATCTGTTCTCAGGCACTCAGGTTTTTTCCAGATTCTGGCTATTGTAAAGAGTGCTGCAATGAACAAACAAGTGCAGATGTCACTTCAACTATACTTTTTTGCTTCTCTGGGATATATTCAAGGAATGGTATTGCTGGGTCAAATGAGACCTCAATTTCTAATTTTTTGAGAATCGTCCATACTGTTTTCCAGAAGGGCTGAACCAGTCGGCATTCCCACCAGCAGTGAAGGAGGGTCCCTTTCTTGCCACATTCACTCCAACACAGGTTGCTTTTGTTCTTTTGGATGTGGGCCAGTCTCTGAGGTGTGAGATGGTATCTCATTGTGGTTTTGATCTGCATCTACCTGATGATTAATGATGTAGAGCATTTTCTCATGTGCCTTTTTGCCATTCGGATTTCTTCTTTGAGAAAATAGCACAGCAGGTAGGGCGTCTGCCTTGCACGCAGCCAACATGGCCGACCCGAGTTCGATTCCTCCGCCCCTCTCAGAGAGCCCGGCAAGCTACCGAGAGTATTCGATATGCCAGACATAGTAACAACAAAGTCTCCAATGGAGACGTTACTGGGACCGCTCGAGCAAATCGATGATCAACGGGAGGGCCTTTACTTTACTTTTTTACTTTACTTCATTGCCCCATTTTTTGATGGGGTTGGATGTTTTCTTCTTGTGGAGTTCAACCAGTACTTTATATATCCTTGATATCAACCCCTTGTCAGATGTGTATTCGGTGAATATCCTTTCCCATTTTGTAGAATGTCTTTGTATTTTGGTCACTGTTTTTTTTTGAGGTGCAGAAGCTTCTTAGTTTAAGATAGTCCCATTTATCTATCTCTGTTTTCACTTGCTCAGCCAGTGGCATGACATCTTTGAAGATACCATTAGCTTCAATGTCATGGAGGGTTTTGCCAACTTTGTGGAAGACTTTTTTTTTTAATTAATTTTTTATTAGTGGAAAACTACGGGTACAGTTGTGGACTTACGAGCTTTTGTGCTTGGGTTTCAATTATACAATGATTGAGTACCCATCCCTCCACCAGTGCTCATTTTCCACCACCAATGGACCCAGTATCCTTCCCACCCCCCCACCCCCCCCAATCCTCCCATCCCATCTCTCCTGTGTGGCATAGCATTACCTTTTGTTCTCTTTCTCCTTTTGGGTGCTGAGATTTGCAAAAGAGTCATTCAGTGGCAATCATGTTTGGTCTATAGTCTACTTTCTGCATGCATCTCCCATCCTAGGAGGATCTTCCCAACACCCTTTACTTGGTGCTCCCTTCTCTATCTGAGTTGCCTTTCCCCCTAGCATGTGCTGCTGGCCTTCAAGCCATGGAGTACCTCCTGGTACTTATCTCAACTATTCTTGGATGTTAGTCTCCTATTTTGTTACTTTATATTCCCCAGATGAATGCAATCTTTCTATGCCTGTCCCTCTTTTTCTGACTCATTTCACTTAGCATGATACCTTCCATGTAGTACCACTTGAATGTAAATTTCATGACGTCATCTTTTCTAACAGCTGCATAGTACTCCATTTAGTAGATGTACCAAGTTTCTTTAACCAGTAATCTGTTCTTGGGCACTCGGGTTTTTTCCAGATTTTGGCTATTGTGAACAGTGCTGCAATGAACAAACAAGTGCATATGTCATTTTGACTATACATTTTTGCCTCTCCGGGATATATTCCCAGGAGTGGTATTGCTGGGTCAAATGGGAGCTCAATTTCTAATTTTTTGAGAATCGTCCATAATGTTTTTCAAAAGGGCTGAACCAGTTGGCGTTCCTACCAGCAATGAAGGAGGGTCCCTTTCTTGCCACATTCGCACCAACACAGGTTGCTTTTGTTCTTTTGGATGTGGGCCAGTGTTTGTGGTGTGAGATGATATCTCATTGTTGTTTTGATATGCATCTCCCTGATAATTAGTGATGTAGAGCATTTTCTCATGTGCCTTTTAGCCACTCGGATTTCTTCTTTGAGAAAGTTTTTGTTCACTTAATCACCACATTTTTTGATGGGTTTGGGTGTTTTCTTCTTGTGGCGTTCAACCAGTGCTTTGTATATCCTTGATATCAACCCCTTATCAGATGGGTATTGGGGAAATATTCTTTCCCATTCTGTAGATTGTATTTGTGTATTTGAGGTGCAGAAGCTTCTTAATTTAAAATAGTTCCTTTTGTTTATCTCTGTTTCCACTTGGATGGTCAGTGGAGTGTCGTCTTTGAAGATACCATAGTCTCAATATCGTGGAGGCTTTTGCAGACCTTGTTTTCAATGTACCTTATGGATTTTGGCCCAATGTTGAGATCTTTAATCCATTTTGATCTGACTTTTGTGCAAAGTTTTAGGTCGAGGTCTAAGCCCATATTTTTGCATGTGGTTGTCCAGTTATGCCAGCACTATTTGTTGAATAGGCTTTCCTTGCTCCACTTCACATTTCTTGCTCCCTTATCAAAGATTAGATGTTCATACATTTGGGATTGTGTGTACGGATATTACACCCTGTTCCGTTGGTCTGTGGACCTGCCTTTATTCCAGTAATCTGCTGTTTTAATTATTACCGCTTTGTAGTAGAGTTTAAGGTTGGGGAGGGTAATGCCTCTCCATGTCTTTTCCCCAAGAATTGCTTTGACTATTCATGGGCATTTGTTGTTCCATATGAATTTCAGGAGTGCTTGATCTATTTCTTTGAAGAATTTCATGGGTATCTTTTTTTTATAGGGATTGCAGTGAATTTGTATAATGATTTGGGGAGTATTGCCATTTTGACAATGTTAATTCTTCCTATCCACAAACAGGGGATATGTTTCCATTTCTTCATGTCCTCTTTTATTTCATGGACTAGCGTTTTGTAGTTTTCATTGTAGAGATCCTTTACCTCTTTAGTTAGGCTTATTCTGAGGTATTTGATTTTCTGGGGCATGATTGTGCACGGGATTGTTTTTTCCTGTCACTTTCTTCTCTCTCATTATTTGCGTATAGGAAGGCCATGGATTTTTGGGCATTAATTTTATAGCCTGCGACTTTGCTATACAAGTCTTTTGTTTCTAGGAGTTTCTTGGTAGAGGATTTAGGATTCTCGATATGTAGTATCATATCATCTGTGAATAATGAGAGCTTGATCTCTTCCTTTCCTATCTGGATGACTTTGATGTCTTTTTCTTGCCTAATCGCTATTGCAAGTATTTCCAGTACCATATTGAACAGAAGTGGTGATAGTGGGCACCCTTGTCTTAAAGAAAGACTTTTAAAACTGAAACCCTTTCTACCCCCAAGGCATCGGAAAACAGAGCTTTTATTTATTTATTTTTTGGGGCTGGAGCGATAGCACAGCGGGTAGGGCATTTGCCTTGCACGCAGCCATCATGGCCGACCCAGGTTCGATTCCCAGCATCCCATATGGTTCCCTGAGTACCGCCAGGAGTGGTTCCTGAGTGCATGAGCCAGGAATAACCCCTGAGCATTGCCGGGTGTGACCCAAAAAGCAAAAAAAAAAGTGTGGCTGAAAAGGCTGGAGCGATAGCACAGTGGTAGGGTGTTTGCCTTACAAGCGGCCAACATGGCCGACCCAAGTTCGATTCCTCCGCCCCTCTCGGAGAGCCCGGCAAGCTACCGGGAGTATCTCACCCGCACGGCAGAGCCTGGCAAGCTACCCGTGACGTATTCGATATGCCAA